AGATTTTTTTTAAAGATTTTTTTTGAGAATTAAGTCGTAATATTATGGGAATAAAGTCATGAAATTACAAGAATAAAGTGATAAAATTACGAGAATTACGTCGTAAAATTACGAGAATAAAGTCGTAAAATTACAAGAATAACGTCGTAAAGTTATGAGAATAACGACGTAAAATTACGAGAATAACGTAAAAATACGAGAATGACGTCGTGAAATTCCGAGAATAACGACGTAAAATTCCGAGAATAACGACGTAAAATTACGAGAATAATGTTGTAAAAATACGAGAATGACATCATAAAATTACGAGAATAATTCTCGTAATTTTACGACGTAATTCTCGTAATTTTACGACGTCATTGTCGTAAAATTACGAGAATGACATCATAAAATTACGAGAATTACGTCGTAAAATTACAAGAATAAGTTGTAAAATAAAAAAATATAAAGTCGTAAAATTAAAAGAATAAAGTCAGAAAAATTAAAGTTGTAACATTAAGGGAATAAAGAAGTAAAATTAAAAGAATAAAGTCAGAAAATTACGAGAATAAAGTATTTTATGACAACTCTTCCAAGAATCCATGTCTTCCCTAAAATGAGGAATGTGGAGCATCATGTGAAGTTCTACTTTAGCATCGGTTTGACCAATCAGGAAATCTTTTAGAGGAAGCATCAAACTGGGCAGGATGTCAAAGTGGACTCTGGTTGCTGATTGGTGGAGCTGGTTGGCTGTCATCTGGTGGGCGGAGCTCCAAGCTTTCTTTCTGAAATGGGCTGTTGAATGATGACTCTATTCTCATAATATTATGACTTTATTCTCCTAATTTAATGACTTTATTCTCAAAATAAAGAAAACATCTAGCCTGGCCTTAATACTCCTACTTTTCACTAGATCTTAACAGAGAAAGGTTTTCATAGTGAGGTTAAAGCGGATAAAGGAGGAGCTGTGGTCGAAAACTGCAAGGACAGCAAATGGAATATTTATGAAATAACCAGAATCAATAAAAGGGCAAACACTTATGATTTTTCTGAAAGGGTAACAAATAAATGAAATATTCAGTTCTAACTTGGTACATTTGTAGAAAACTGTTGGGTTTTCTGTTTTTCACCGATGCATCATTAACATTTAAAGCTGTTGGGAAGGTTGGGATTTTGTATTTCTCTACTGATGAAGTCCTTGGGGCTTAATTCACAGCCATTAGATGGATTATTTTAACCTGTTTTTGGCTTTCATAAAGTCGCGTGTCCTTACAGATATTTTTTGGGCTTCCAGATTTATTGTGGTTCAGTTAATAATTATTTATGAAATGGATGTTTTGTTATGACTCCTGAGTGCAGGGTTATGATCAAGTTATTCTAAGCTATGTGCCTTTGATGCTTACTGTAAATGTTAAGGTTATATTTGTGCCAAATATAAAAGAAATCAACCAAAAAAAGCATTTCTGGTGTCTTTGATCTTATTCCTGTTAAATAGCTCTATTGTGTTTAAAATACTGGCAGTAAAAAATGGAAAGAAAAAAACAACTGAAATGGAGGAAACATGTTTAGTCTTGAATCGAATCGTTACCTTTAGAGTAAACAGCAGTAAATAAACTATAAGTAAAAAAAAAAAGATTTTATATCCATCTATCTATTCTAACATGTTTTTACCGTTGAACATTAATTTAAAATGTGCTTGTTTTTTCCCCCTAAATTTCAAATGTTTATTCAGAAATATTCATTTCCTAAAAGTATCTCTTTTTAGATTAATAGAAAACAAATTTTAGATAAGTTTTTACTAAAATAGCAGCAGCCCAAAAAAATAACTTAATAAATGTACAAAAATTGTATATTAAGGGAGAAGACATTTTTTTTGCACATTTTTTGTTAAAAAAAACAAAGGGAATATATATATATATATATATCTGCACTGCCTAACAGGTTCATTAAAGTTAATTGCTATAACTTAGTATCATAATGATTAAGGTTAAAAAATAATAAATAAATAGAATGTCTAGATTTGTACAGAATGGAATTAATGTTGCTGGAAAGTAAGTATATAAATATTGTGTTTTTTTATAATTTTGACAGGTCCAAAATATCTAAATATTGATTGATTGATGGATGAAGTCCCGCAAGACGTGACCTTTTGAATTTTGGTTAATAACTTAGAAAGAAAAGCCGAAATGATCAACATTTTTCTGAAAACAGCTGAATTGATCGTAGGGCTTAATCGGATTGATTGATTAATGAAATAATCGTCAACTAATGTACAAATCAATTAATTGTTAACTAGAGAATAAAGACTTTAAAACATGCCTTTAGCTGGCAAGAGTGACCCACTTAGAGCAGGAATTATACCAAAATTGCAAAAAAATATAAAAATTTTGCATTTAAGATAAAAAAATATATATTTTTGTCTGTCAAAATGCTCTAACTAGAATTCTTCAGACAGAAAAGTTTTAGTTTCACCTGGTTTGATTTTGTAAAAATCTTTGTGGAACCTTTGGCTATCCGATTATTAATCAATGAATCAGAAAAATAAAAAATTAATCGATTTGCAAAATAATGGTTAGTTGCAGCCCTAATTGATGGACAACAATTTTGTGAAGTGAATTTTGTTCCATTATTGCTGCAATCAAAGAACACAAAAAAACCCAACTAGAAATGATGCACTGAAAATCTTAATCGGAAAAGGGTTTTGTTTTTGAAATTTTGTTCATATTTTTTTATGATTATGTGTGTTTAATCATTGCGTCTGGATTGAGCTGCAATTTTTTTGTGTTCATTTGACAAATAAAATGTTGCTAACATCGAGCAGACCAATAGAAACGCGGAAAGCCCCGCCCACAGAAGTGAAAAGAACGTGGGGCCGCGGCTAACGATTATTTAGCAAATCAATTAATCACATTGTTTATAGCCCTAAAATAATGTGATCTGAAAAATGCGATTTAAAAGAATAAAGTTCGTAAAACTCCATCTGAAAAAAAGAAAATTTGAAATCATAAAATTTAAAAAGAAAAAAAAATTATGATGGAAAAGTTTGAGGTATAGTGGAGGATTTTCGCTAATTTTTAAAAAGACCTGCCCTCTCCACTTTAAAAAAAAATTGCACATGCACAACCCTGTACCCGCTCCCGAGAGGAAACGCCCATTAAATGTGTCCGAGAGCGCGCACAAACCCATTTCTCCTTGTACACGCTCTGTTTAACACTTGCTGTTGTCATCGCTCATACAAGCTTAGTTTCCAAAAGAAGATTTGAAATTTTTCCACTACGCCGGACTCACCCCCGGTAAGTGAAACGAGCATCTATGACGGCCTTACGTAAACATACCACCAGAATGATTGACATTTAGAAGGACCACTTATTTTGATGATCCACCTGGAAAAAGAACATCCTGCACTCTAGCTTTCAGTAAACAAAATAACCAGTTTTTATGAAAAAATCATGTAATTAAAAAAAACAAAAAAAATTTAAAACCTCTAGACTTTTTACAGATAAAGACTTCTTTGAAATTTTAATTTCTGGATTTAATTCTTATCATTCCAATTAGGAAAACCTTTGGTTATCTCTGGTTTGTTTTCATTAACATCTTTATAACTAGCAGCACAGACAAGACTCTTTTCTAGACAAACATTGGACATCGGATTTAAGAGGTCAGAAGGGTAGTTACCAACCTCACAACGTTGCGTTAAACTACTTTTTTTATTTCAACATTGCAATGAACACAAACATTAAGTTCAGTTAAATATTCACAAACACATAGGTTAAATTAGTGCAGATTTGGCCAGCCCAAGTGGGAAGTCACCTGACCTGCACACAGTTGTGGGGGGAAATGAGCTGCCGGTGTGGGTCCTTATTAGGCAAGACCCTTCATGCTAATGCCTGCTTTGTAAGTCACACATAAGAAATGGATAAAAACAACATTACATGAAATTTTTTTGAGGACCAGAATGTTCACATTTTGGACAAAGAAAATTATTAGTTTGAGAGAAGGAAGCCGTCTATGTTAGAGAAAGAAAAAACAACTTTAAACAGAGGAATCAATGCAGCAACTGAGTTGATCCCTTCTTGCTATCATCGCAACCGCAAACCCTTTACATGGAACAGAAGACCTCGCTTATTCAGCCAGGCCAACTATTCCATTTAAAGTCGTAGGGAAGCGGCTGTTCCAACCGTTGAAGTTCCCAATTCTCCTGAGTGGTGCCCGACTTTACACGAGTGAATGAAGTGAATGTGATTGGTCGTTTATCAAGGGGGGCAGGATTGTTGTGGTGGAAGGTTCGCAAGCAAGTTTGATTGTGGCCGGTTTGTCAGAAGCATCTTGCTAACCAGTTAGCAACTTAGCGCTAGCAGGTTCCCAATGGGAAATTCCATTGGGACCAAGTAGCACTAAATTGGTGACTTAGAAACGACGCTGTCAAGGAACGCTATGGACAGCGGAAACATGCAAGAGGAGGAGAGTTTAGTGTCGGAGGTCGTGGATGAGTCTCCTCCGTCATCCATTTTTTATTTAGAGGAGGAAAGCGGGGACGAAGATGTTGTGGAAGAGGACGCCAGGGCGGCAGAAGCTTGGTTTGGTGTAGAAGGCTTCCAGCCGTACGTGTTTGAGCCCTTGCCTCGCAACGCTGCCAGTTCTGTTAGCTCTACGCCTGCCGAAGACACAGACGTCCATCCCCGTGAACACTGGGACGCAACTCAATGGGAAAGGAAAGAATTCTGATTTCAACCGTTGCGTATATTAGCTGCGACATATGAATCAAGATGCTATGATCGAAACAATTTGATTGACAGATGATCGTTGATATATGATTGGCCGAATTTAGATGTTCAGGCTGACGAATAACTAACTGGCCTGCAGAAGATAACGGGAAAACCCCCCATAGATTTTGGGACATTTTTGTCTGATAAAGAGTACATTTATATACATGTTTAAGCCAGAATGATTTGACAGTTAAATATGACTTCCCTATGACTTTAACGACCCCCCCCCTTTCAGAGACATAGACAGGTATGGGGCATTGCAGGCAAAGGGATTGAACGAATTTGTTTGTTTCACTTTGCATGTTTTCAAAACAAAAACAAGGTTTTGATGGGCAACTGTATAAAACCACAGACTCAAAACTATTTTTGACATTTTGAATTGAAAAAGCTTCCTGGATGGGAAGCGAAACGTCTTCAAACTTAAGAGACAAAGTCCAGTGGATTGTTTTTTTTACTTTTTTTGGAATACGCTAAATCTACTCGGAATCACGCTTAAAGTGCCTTAAAATCCAAACAGTTCAACTAGCTTATAGTTCTGTTCACACAGTCGTAGTTTTGTGGGCGGAGCTTGTCCGCTGGCCTCAGATGACGGGGTTCAGGGCGTCGTAGAGCCGCTGCACCGCCAGCTCCACCATCTCTCTGAGGGACTCGTCCTCCGCCAGCTCTTCCTCGCAGTAAACAGACTGAAGGAGTAAAAGCAGATGCTCGTTAAGCCGTGACACTCGGGCAGCGTCCTGCGGATCAAAGCGACCCGCTGAAAGCCTCTCACCCGCGTCTCCAGGCTGATGTGGACCGTCTGTCCGTCCACCGTCACAGAAATGGTTTTCCCGTCGCTGAAGTCCACACACTCCTCTCCAAACATGTCCCTGGATGCAGACGCAGGGCGGAGGAACCGGGTTTTACAAAATGAACTGATCTTTCTGTTGTTTTTTTATCAAACGTGATGGATTGTCAGAGTTTAAGGGATCACTCACTGCAGCATGACCTCTAACCGGCTCTGGAAGACGTCCATGTCCATGATGGAGCTCTGCGTCTCCATCACTGCTCATGAAACAGAAACTCTCCATTCGTCCACATTCTTTACATGCAGCTAAAGGCTTTTCATTGAAGGACTCACCTTTCTGAGCTTTTGGGTTGGACTGCACTTCCAGCACCACCGTGGTGACGGCGTCAGCAAACATGTCGTTGAGAGGGTTGGCTGCCCACTGAGACCAAGCAGAAGGCAGCGCAAAATAACTCAGCTTTTATTTCATGGTGTCTGCAGACGGTGACCCAGGAAGGCGGCCACTCACCTCCAGCACCACCATGCCCATCTCGTGGATCAGGGTGATGTTTTTAAAGATCTTTAAGGTCTTCTTCTCGGTCCCGTCCAGCTCCTCCACATCCCCTGAGACAGACGGCGAAGACAGAGCGAACCTTTTAGTCGGCATCCGCAGAGCGGCGAGGAGAAGCTGGAGGCTCACCTGTGAGGTTCCTCAGATGGCAGACGAGCAGGGAGTACGGCCCGGTGAAGGGGATGGCCTGGCTCTGTTTGACGGTGCTCATGGCGAGTTCTGTGTACGCTGTGGACAGAGGGTGAGGACGTTCTCACATGTTCAGCCTAAAGGCTAGTTATACTCAGAAACCAGGTCGTCTGCGTGTGTCGCAGTGAATGCAGATATGCCCCGCCCCTTCCACAGACACTCTCCCAAATTTTAGGTGACCGCAGAGAGGAGGCCCCTGATTGGTCAAATCTACATCCGCTCTACACTATGCGTATTTCCTGTTCGGTACCTTACCGACTTGTTTTGTTTGTACGACTACATCGTGGAAAACGACTCGTGAAAATGGACCAGCAAGAAGAACAAAGTGCGCAAAAACTAGGGGGGGGGAATCGAAAACCGGTTCCTGTTCAGAACCGGTTCCATGTGTTCCAGTTCCATGACACCGTCTGGCAACTTAACGATTCTCTTGTCGGTTCCAGGCAGCACCAGAGCCTCGCGCCGGGCAGCACCAGAGCCTTACGTCACGTTTTTACGCAAGTTACGCACACGGCATTCAGTAAGCAAGTACGACATGGCCAGGTAAGTTTAGAAAAGCAAAACAAAAGCAGTCAAAGTGATCGGAAAATTTGTCTTCGTTTTAAGGAAGAGAAAGATGGCAAAAAGGCGCTTCGCAATCATTGCAAAGTGACAATTACATCCGCGGGAAGAAATACATCTAACATGCAGAAACACCTCAGCATTTTTATTATTTTAACTATGAAAATTTTTTTTTAATTGAGCTGATAAATGTCAGAGCTGACACTTAAAACGTGTAAAAATTTCTAGATACATAAAACTTAATTCTTACTAGTATAATTTTTTTTTATCTGTAAAATACAGTTTCTGCTACAAAACTGTAATTTAGAAAATATATTATTACAGTTAGGTCTAGGAGTGTGATTTTGATTAGGAAGAATCTTATTTTAGTGATCTACAAATGGAAAAACAGAGAGGAGTGCTTTTAATAAATGTAAAAACGGCCTGCCATAGCCTGATCCATATAACGCATTAACTCAACAATCTGCTCCTTCGTTATCTTCCTCTGCTTTGTAGCCTTAGCGCTGTTTCTCTGTCATTTAAACACATTCTCCTTTTATTATTTTTGCATTTCTGTATTAAAATCTCTAGTTCCAATGGGGTGAAATAGGAGCTTCCTGTTGCCTGTTGTCATGGTGACTTGCTGAATCGGTGCTCCACTGATAATTGGCTTTTCGTACTTGTTACACACGCGTTTAACTCTGGGTGGACCTAGTTAAAAGTGATTGAACTAATTGATAGCAGACGTTGGGAAACTGAAAAATCTGATTTCCTGACTTTAGGTTAGATTAATTTAGAGTTGAGGATTTGAATCCGAGTTTGTTAAACCCGCTTAAGGAAACGGACCCAGGGTGTCCAGATGATTCTCATTTTTCTAAAGAAGATTCCTTCTGGCGTCCTTGTTCTTTAAAGGTTTATAGTCACAATCACTAACTTCTTCTGGTTGCACACAAAGTGTTTTTTTTTGGAAGATGACTGCGTCCTGCTGCCGTAATATTTAGATACTTTTGTGTTTTATGTCTTGTTGTTGTTGCTCAGTTTGTCATTAAATAAAATCCTTTATATGTAAAAAAAACATAAAAGGATGATAGTGTTCATGTGTGGAGGGAGAGAACAAGGAAGTGATGCGAATAAAGCAAGTAGTCATGTTTTTGGAACGTGGAAGTACCTGGAGAGAACTCATGCATGAACAGGGAGAACATGCAAACTCAATGCAGAAAGACCCCGGGCCGGGAATCAAACCCGGAACCTTCTCACCTCAAGACAGCAGTGCTACAATCTGTGTGAAATATGGAAATATTTTCTGGACGACCTTTAACAGACCCTCCACAACGAGGACAAGGTCACTGCTAAAGAAGCTAACAGCTCAGAGTCACGTGCGCAGGCAAAAGAAAGTTGAGTGGAAGAAAAAACTGAGTAAACGATGCTGCTTAAGGACTTTGAACTGTTTAATTCTAAATGATTGAATTTTAAATGATTTATAAACCTTTTAAAACGATAGTTTAATTGAGGTTTACTGAGTATTTACTTACTTGAGAGGTCAGAGGGATTCAGGATGTGGTAATTAAAGTTCTTCTTGACCAGGATTCCAGACACCCTCTGACCCTGAGCACATTTCTTATCAGCCAGGGATCCCATCACCTGGGAGGAAAGGTTGTTAGTTTGAGAATTTAAATAAAGATGCGTTTAGGTTCTGCTGAAAACAAAGCCTGAACCTTTGCCAGCTTCTCTCCTCTGAAGTTCAGCTTGACGGCCTCCGTGTTGCGAGGGTTGTGCACTTCGATGTGAACCTGGTCGTTGTCCTCGTACTCCCTGATCAGAGCCGCCTTCAGTCGGGCCATCTCGTTCTGCTCCCCGTGAACCAGGATCTGAGAGCAAAGGCGAGCGGCGGTCACGCTCGGTCTCAGAGGAACGACGCCCGCAGGCGGGTTATCAGGCAGACCTACCACATGCGGCGGTTTGAGGGCCCTGATGAACTCGCTGGTCTGCTGGTAGTCGGTGTGGGCGGAGAAGGAGATGTAGTCCACGGACATCTTCAGCGGCAGCTTCTGCCCAGACATGGTGGTGATCTCCTCCGGCTCAGACATGATGTGCTGCCGAGCAAACAAAGGGCTTTAAGCTCGCAGATTTATAACCCATCATTAAAAAGCCAGATTCTGATTTTGACTGATCATATGATCACAAGAAACTTTAAATATTTTTTAAATCTTATTCTGCTGAAAATCATGAAAAATCCCATTGAAACTACTCATAGAATCCTTAACTGCCCATCAGGCATTGGAAGGGGTGATTTTCAGACCTTTGCAGAGGTAGATGAGTATCACCTTTTCTTCTATAATTAAGGAAATTATTTAACTAGCTTCATAGCTCTGGTTTAAATTCAGCCCAAAAGTTTTATGAAAAAGACAAATTTTGATTTAAACATTTCTTTTTGGTACTTGGGATATATGGAGGGTTAAAGGCGCCAAAATGGAATAACTATGTCACAAAATAAATTACTTCGTTATGAGTAAAAAAAAAAAAAAAAAAAGAGGAAGAAGTATTCTTGCTCAATGAGAGGGTAGCCAATCACTGATCATTGGTAGTACAGGGTTGAAGTGAAGCCATATTGGTACTCCCTAGTTCGCTGGCAGTAAGTCAGGGAAAGCTGGACTCGATAACGTTGCTCTTTGCAACAAATTCTGTTCATAACATTGATGAGCAGAATTTCTAGGTGCAGCTAAGGTGCTGAAGGGATCAGTTTTGGTGGTCTTAGAACGCGTCTCTACTTTTTGCAGGGATGTGGTTCTAAAGGCTTCATCCGGCTGTGATCTACAGCTCTGGCTCACAGGCAGGATGAGGATCAGCCTCCAAATCAGCTATTTGTTTTGCATAAAACTGATTTTCTCTCAGATTTTTCTTAAAAATAACCAAAAGTTATTTGTGGCTGACACGATACGGATGACTGAGCATTTAAACAGGCATGTTGTAAAAATATATATGTTTCGACACCAAGTTTTACATTAATAAAATGACACTAATTATTATCGTACCTACATTTACAGGAATTATAGTTGCAGTGTTAGAATTAAATACAAATAAAATCTAACAAAGTTTTTGCACATCTAGGAATAAATTCCAGAGATGCACAAATCCATTTTTTTCCCCCCGATCCAGTCGGATACCTGCACACGGGCTGCGCATATCTGCTGATATTCAATCCGATTAAAATGCGGAAAGATCAGACTTTATATCTTGCCATGTGAGTAAAGGCTTTAGCTGTGACATAAACATTGTTAAAGAAGGTAACAGATTACCGCAGATATTAATGTACTTTATCTTATTTGTTAACAAATAAGCAGCAAAAACAAAGAAATAGTACAATAACATTTAACAGTAAAGTGTCCTGGATTGGATTTCTGATCATTTCAGATATCCGATCCATCTAATTAGTCAATATCGGAGACAATATTCGATAAAGACATCAGAATGTCGCATGTCGAATAAATTCAAGGTTAATTTTCAACACTTAAATATGAAAAGATAAGTGACTTTTTCTCTATCCTCCTTTCCTCTGAGACCTAAATGAGCTTCTGTGCATCTTGATGGAAACGGCAGATTAAAACATGGTGGTGGCAGCATTATGCTGTGGGGATGCTGTTCATCAACAGGGGGTGGGAAGCTCAGAGATGATGGAAGCACAATGGAGTTGGTTTCCAAACAACCCGGAGAAAAAAACAAACCCCTCCAGAGGCGGCAGAGGTTCACCATCCAGCAGGAAAACAAGCCAAACAAACAGAGCTGGAGGTTAAAGCGGCCTAGTCAAAGTAACATTTGGAAGTTCGCCATTCAATCTGTCTGAACTTGAGCTACTGTGGAAAACGGAATGAGTGAAGTGTCTGTAGATAAAGAGGCACTCCGCACCATTCAGATTTCTCCCGCTACCTTAGCCAGGGTGCCCTCCACACAGTACCCAGCGATGATGACTCCGTTCCTCTTGTCCGTGCACCAACTCTCAAAGAGCTCCCTGGAGAGGCCGCTCTGCATCATACCCGGAGACGCCATCACCACACTGGGGCCGATGTCATCAAAGTGGTCCATACTCTGGTTAGAGACGAACAGAGATCGGATCAGAACCGGAGGCGGAGCAGGGAAGGCGTCCTCAGGAGGCTACCTTCAGGTTGCTGATGTGCTTGAACACAAACGGGTTGTTGATGTTGATGGCTTTGCGGATCTTGTCGTTCATGGCGTTGACGTAGGTCTGATACACCGCCATGCACTTCTTGGCCAGAGAGGAGGCGTAGTAGATGGGGATGTCATGGAGTTCTGGGTGATTCTGCCAGTATTCATCTAGGATATAAAACAAAGACTGTGATTGAGGAAGATCTGCTAAATATAATTGGTATGATCTTCTAAATCCCACAAACGGATGAAGATCAGGGATAAAAGCCCCGCTGGAGCCAGAAGGGCTTTCTAACCGACCCAAGATGAGCAGGAGCTCCTGGGCCCGGCCCAAAGCGAACACGGGGATCAGACAGCGGCCCTCTCTGTTCACAACGTCATGGACCGTGTTACAGAAGCGAGCCTCGCGCTCCTCCCTCTTCTCATGGATGTGAGTGCCGTAGGTCGATTCCTGCAACGGGAGAAACGCCTCAGCGCCAGTTTAGCTTTTGGTTAAAACTTCAACGCATCAACCTAAATGAATACAAAAAATTTATGGAGTAATTAAAATATTAAGTTTCAAATGATTTTATCTATTTAAGCAGAAAAATGATCTATCTAAACTAACCTGGATCTAACTGAAAAACTTTGTGAAACCCTCCAACGTGGCTTATTTAAACGCTTCAGAATATGGAGAGAAATTTGTGCCAATATTATTAAAGGCAAAGAACAGTTTCAAAAAAGGACATTTGAAAAAAAAAAAAAAACACCTTTGAAAAAAAATTTGAGCTATTAAAAAAAAATCACGATAAAAGACAAAAAACATTTTGCAAATAATTCCCAACATAAATGCTGAATTTTAACTAAAATTTTCGCCAATAATTTTTTTTGCTGTTTATTAGGTTCTGTTTTCTTTTTATTTTGAATATATCTTTTTATGATTTTATATTTTCAATTCAATCAAGCGGGGTAAACTGAATTTTACAAACTGCATTATTTTCAAATCCTCTTGTACAGATTTTACCCTTCTGGTTAAAAAAAGCATTTCTATTGGTCCGTTTGTAGACCAATAGAAATCTATCTGCTCTAAGAGGGCAATAGCAACAGGATTTCTATTGGTCCGTGCACTGATCACCTGGAAATATAGTGGGAGAAATCTGCAAAAGTGGATTGTAATAGAATATAATTAAAATCTGAAAAAATATTTTTAAAACAATTTAATCTGGAAAGTGAAATCCTATAAAAATCTAACTGTAAAAGTTGTGACTGACCTTTTACACATATTATTAATTACTCCAAAAACTTTTTCCTTTAAGTTGCAGGTGAAGATTCTCATCATCCAGGTCAGAGTCATTCCAAAAGAAATTCTTCAAAACAATCCACTGGACTTTGTTTCCAAGTTTGAAGACGTTTCGCTTCCCATCCAGGAAGCTGTTTCTATTAAAAAAGTTTGTTTTTAATTTTGTTTTTTGTTTTTCCTTTAAGTTTTTTAAAGTTACATTTCTGAAACGTGTTCTCTCCAAATGTCATTAACTGAAATATGTTTTTTTTTTTTCCAATGTCAAAACAAAATTCTCTCCTCCATCAAAGTGTTTAATTAATGGATTATTTATCATAATGTAAGAGATGTTGTCCATTAGTCCTACTATGATTAAGATGTCAGGTTTGACACTCGGGATCTCAGCCGCCATCAGATGTCTGTCCTCCTGTCTGGAGAAGTCGCCCGTGTACAGCAGCTTCCAAAACACAAATCAAAAATTAACTCATTCCTTTATGACAGCATTTCCAGGCAGAATGATTTATTTAATTTTTTTACCTTAACTCCAGCTATTTCGATCATGAACATGGCCGCCCCCAGCACATGCCCAGCATGGTAGCACCAGAACTTGATCCCAGCCACCTCCTTAACCTCATGGAAGTTTATGGTCTCGATCTTGTCCATGCTGTCCTCCAGGTCGGTTTCAGTGTAAAGCATGTCATCAGCAGAGATGTTGCTGTAAAACAATAAATAAATACATGGCTTTAATTTCCTCACACATTAAATCATTTTATATCAAGCCTTCTTTACCATCATTCCCATAAATAAAACCTATTAGAACCAGTGGAGCTCTAGAACAAGATAATTAGCTTTCAACCCTGTAATGCCAAATGTATCGTATTTGATACATACGTTTTCTCAAATGTTTTGCGTCTGACACCTTTTGCATAATTTAATGGTAAAAACTTTGCTCAAAATCCTATTGTACACAATCAGATATACCTGATAACAGAGGGCAGAAGACTACACAAAAAATAATCTTGATTTATCGCATAGTAATAAATTATTAATGTCAAAAATGTATTTCTGTTTTTTCTTTTTACATATTTTGTTAAAAGGCCAAATAAGGACTTCAAACCAAAAAAAAGTAATTTTCTGTTTCATTTTAATCTTGGATCGGGCTTTAAAGGGTTAAAAAGCTTCGAACATCTTCCAGAGCTCTGATCCTCATGGAGAGACGGACCGACAAAGACGCAGACGTCCAGCATTTACCACAAGCCTTTATGTGTGGAGGACCAACTCTGCCATATTTAAAAATAAATACAGAAATAAATAAATGCTCAAAAGATAAAATAAAAAAATAATAAATAAATAAAGTTGAAGATTATAAAGTACAATAAATAAATAATTATTACAAAGGCGAATAAATAAAGAAGTTAATTAAAAGATATTCATACATTTATGTCTCACTGCATAGTTTAAACATAAATCTATTTATTTATTGTTTTTTTGGGGGCAATTAATTGTATGCTTATTTATTTATTGAGCATTTATTTATTTCTGTGTTTATTTTTAAATATGGCAGAGTTGGTCCTCCATACTTAGGTGAACCATCTTCATGAAATCACGTCCGACCTGCAGACTGCTGGTTTATGAAAACTATGGAGATGAATTTGTTCCCATATAACAAAGAAAACAAGGCGATTTATAAAAAAGAAACTTAAAGAAAATGCATTTCTAAAAAAATTTTACTTATTAATTGAAAATATGTAGGCAAATGATTAACCAATATTTCTACAGCTCGATATTTTGCATGTTTTTTCTTTCTCAGATATCACGTTCTACAATTTTTGTAAAAAAACATTTTATGATTCTGTTTTTCTTCTTTCCTTTCTGGGAGACTGAGGTTTAGGAACTGAATTCTTTCTACAGATATCAACCTTTACACTTCTGGGTGGTCTGTGTGTGGATCAATGGGAAAGATGCTGCTAATGTTCCAGCAGAGCAGATTGATTTCTGCACAATGACCAACCAGAAGTGAACCCCAGTGGGCCTCAGCAGATGGCCGCTCACACTGAGCCTGGTTCTGCTGGAGGTTTCTTCCTGTTATAGGGAGTTTTTCCTCTCCACTGTCGCTACAAGCATGCTTAGTGTGAGGGATTGCTGAAGAGTCAATGAGTCGATGCAATCAGCTGGTTTTCCTTAGAAAACTTTGAATCAATCTGACTGGATGATCTGGTGAACTGGAAAGTGACCTGAGATGACATGATGTGAATTGGAGCTATAGAAATAAACTGAATAGAATTGAAGTGTAAAGAATGAAATATTAAAAACGGGAGTAGTGTTTTTAGTGTGATTAGTGATAAAATTGAGTTCCTCCGCAGAAGAAAAAAAATGTTAAAGAGAAAATTAAAATTACAAATTAAATAAATAAATAAAAAAAAATCAGGAAAAACTAACAAAAATATTAGAAAAAAATGGGAAAGAAAATCTACTTTTAAAATTCAAACTTTAAAAGATGCAGAAACATAAATTACTCTGAAAACCTATTTTTGGATTGAGATTCAAATCTTCTGTTTAGAAACGTGCTTTGAATAAAACTTAAAGAAGTTTCAATCCAAGTCTTTTCTGGTGCTGCTATTTCTATACTAAATTTATACTTTACTTATCCTTCTTTTACAGACTTCTTTTTTATATTCCAAACATCTTTTTGCTCTCACTATTCAGTATTTGTACTGTTATTTTTAACCTTTTTTTTCTCTTTTCTTTTTTATATATATTTATATATAGATGCATTTTAATGTGTATAACTGTGTGACCCTTTTATATTGCCTTTGCTGCTGTTAAAACTAAATTTCCCCATTGTGGGAGAGTAAAGGGATTTTCTACGGTAGTAATCTTATATTGAGGCCTTCATTTGCCAGATCTTCTTATTTAACTGCTTGAATTAATGGAAAATACACTCTTAATAAAATTTTACTAATTTTTTAATTCAAATACTTATGTCAGATTCATATGCCAAAAAGACAAATGTTTGCAGAAACCCTAAACACACCATCCCCACAGTGAAACATGGTGGTGGCAGCATCATGCAGGGGGATGCTATTCTCTAGCAGGAACAAAATAAGTCAAGGATAATCCTGGGAGAAAATCCATCCCTCAGCTATGGAAGAGGCTGGTGAAGATCTGCAGCTACCTGACTTTGACGTAGTCCGACAGCAGCCAGCGGTAGATAGCCTTGGTGGCGTGCGTCATGAAGGTCCGCCCCTTAAAGCTGGTCTTCTGGAGGAACCAGGGCAGAGCGCCGCAGTGATCCAGGTGAAAACTGATAACAGAGACATGAGCATCAACCTTAGACGGCTGAAGTCTGGTTTCCTTAGAATATAAGGAGAAAAGCTTTAGTCTAACAGGTTGGAAAGACTCACTGGCTGATGAGGAGGAGGTCAATCTCAGCAGGATCGATCAGGTCTATGTAGGGAAGAGCGTCCATTCCCTCTAAACCCGGATGAATGCCGCAGTCCAGCTGATAAAAACAAACAGTTCGCTTTAGGTTCACGGGTGAAACAGTCGAGAAATAAGTCAAAATGTCTTAAATTAAGTGTATTTACCCTTCATTTGAGAAAGTAAACTAGGTAGTTTACCAATGGAATGAGTATTCTTCATTATATTTAGATAATATACACTTGAAATAAGTCAATGCAATTATGCTTTCTTATTTTAAATGTAAATTGTCTCGTTCCATTTGCAAAATGTCTTTTTACCTCCTCAATACAAGAACAAATGCACTTATTTTAAGACTGACTTATTTAGATTTAGATTTTTTCCAGTGTTTTATTGTCTGAGTTTGAGGATTTCAGTCATTTTCAGCTGAATAAACCTAAGATCATAGCATAGATCAGATAAATACAGGGCTTCCCCCTTTTAATACGCTCTAATCTGCCCCAGAGACTCCAGCAGCCGAGGGCAGGACGGTTCTGATCCAGTTCCCATGCAGTCAAGTTCTGCAGAATTCTGCTAATTACCGGGCTCCTTTTAATGTGGGAGTGTTTAAGTTTAATTGGAGGAAATAAAAAGTAACACTGTCACAGATAGGCTGCGTCTTCATGTCCTCCAGAAGACCAGCTGGAAATGACTGCAGAATCCCACTAATCTACCGATTATTCAAGGCAAAAGTATAGATCAGTCAGAGAATAAGAAATTCAACTGTTTATAATTTAGAAATCCAATTTGAAAAGCATTGCGCATTCGAACGTTTAAATAAGAACTGTAAACTAATTAATTATTAAATACTGTGGTTTGGAAATGCATTTCTTAAATCATGTTTCTAGATATAGATTTAAAACCATAATTCATAAATCTGATAAACTTAAAAAACTGATCAAAATATGTAAAATAAATGCATCTGACCTCAATAAGAGCAAGAAAATAAGATGATCAGCCAATGGAAAGAGTCTGTCTGCTTTTAAAATGAGACAATTTTGCACTTTAAAGAAGATAATGGAGGGGATTTTTCTTATTTCAAATTTAAATCACCTTGATCGATCAGATAATCATCTTAACTTATTGCTCAAATGGGTTTACTCTTTTATAAGAAATAATATTTTTATATCATTTATATTTTTAAATGATAACAGAGGAAATGGAACTGATAAAGAGGGGAGAAACGTGAAGTAAAAGTCAGCAGGTCAGGACTCAAACCCACAACATCAACATCTTTTTTCCATGATCACTCACATTGTCAAATATTGTTTTACATATGCATTTACTTTTACTTTACCCTATTTAGCATTTCCATTATTTTTTTCTTAAAGGCACACTATGCAACATTTTTCAGTTAATTAATGTGTTCCATAACGTTTTGGATGATTAAATGATTCATTTCAGGTCGAACAAAGGTTTTCTCGGCCGCCCTGGTGGTCTGTGGGGGAAATACTGCACTTGCAATTGCAGGAGCACCGACCCGCATCCACAGGCTCAGAAGTCTCGCGAGAGTCGGTCTTGCTTTACGGCGAGAACTGCTACACGCCCAGAGTTAAAAGCATGCTCGTTGCTAGCACAGTGGCGATCTTTGTGCAGTGCTGCTTTCACACCGGACGCAGCAAAAGCAGCAAAATCGCGTCTGCTGCTTCATTTTTGCTGCTTGTACCAGTTAGTTCTGACACGCGGCTGAAGCAGCTTTGCTGCTCTGGCTGCGCGGTGCGAAAGTGTGTCTGATGCGCATTGGGCGGAGCTTCACTATCAATGGGAATAAAGTAGTTTTAATATGTTTTTAAGTGAGAAAATACACCTAAAAACGTAATCAGTGCAGTCAGTTCATCCAGATTACCATCCTGCCTTACAATATTTTTTCTGTCGGAGCCGCTCAGACCCCCACATACCAGCGGTGCGCCGACAGTTGGAATCCCTTCATCAGCAGCCTCTGCCGGGTCGCCTCCTCGCGGTTCACCGCGGCAACTGGTAGGTGTTTTTCATCTAAATAATCCAAACTGCAGGCAGCAGGATAATGCATTTTAAGTTAATTTAGGCGTCAATAAACTGTTTAAGAGGAGTGATCATAGCGCTCTGATCATCAGTGCTGTATCTCTCTCCCTTCCAGCTCCCAGATCAGCTTCTCTGATTGGTTGACGCGGCGCGTCGAGCAGCAAAAATTCAATTTTTCCATCTTGAGCAGCAGCGCGTTTGCGGCGCGGCACGTCACGCGCGTCAGGTGCTTAGTCATTCGTTGCGTTTGCCTGTCTGCTAAGCTCAAAACAACCGCGCCTGGCTTGACGGAGAAACCAGGAGAACAGCTGAGCATATTTACGACAGTGCACTTTTACTTTCGCCCTCTGGGGGGAGCCTCGCTGGAAAATCAACACCGGTTGCATAGTATACCTTTAAGCCCCCCCCCCAAGTAAAATGAAAACAATAAAAACTAACAGACAAATCGCAGCTGCTCCACAGATCTAACTAGTAATAGATTAATAATTACAACTCCTCTTAGATCAATTCACTATATGACATTTCACAGCAAGTTTCAAATTGTTTTTCTAGATAAAGTATTTAAAAGTTCAATTTTAAATGATTTAATTTTTTCTTTCAGTGACTCTCCTGGGGCTCCATAAATCTGTGCTGCAGAAAAGCTGCAGGACGGCGTGCAATGAGGACCGATGGCCACTAGAGGGCAGCATCACAAATGATGAACGTCATAGGGGGCGGGGCCAGTGGCTGGGAAACCAGAGCAGGGGGGTTTGGAAAAAATACTAGATGGAAGCTTATTAATTTTAATAAAATTAGTTAAGGCTTCATTTTTTTTCCTAAAAAGATGCATTTGAAACGAAACAGGAAAATAAACATTTAAAAGGAGATTTCAAAATGACATCCTCCCCTTTTGCTTGTTCCGTTATAATTCGATTTTCAACTCTGTTTCAAAAGCTCCTCATGGTGGCCCTTTTTAAATACAAAGTTGAGACACTTTCTAAGGGAAGTAATTTTATTTCAGAAACGTTAGATTGATTTTATTTTATTTTTTATACATTTTTTATCTATTTTTTTAAATATATATATATATATTTTTTATTTTATTTTAAAACGCTTCGTCTTTGTTAAAGGGCGATAGTAACAAATAAATAAATCAGTAATAAGTAATAATGAATCAGTGTAAATATTACATTTGAAAAATAATTGCGTTTGATTTTATTTTTATTTTTTTCTTAATGAACCTGGAGCTCCTCTAATATTAATAATATTTACCATTATTTTCCTCCCTTTGAACTCCAGGATGATACAGGATCTCCCGACCTCCTGACCAGCTCCACTGCAACAGAACAACAAAATTAAATAACAAAAAAAGATATATATATTATGTGCGTTTTGGTTTCTGAGGGAAGCTGGTTAAAAATAAACGCATAAATAAATATAAACTTACAGAGGACGGATGAGGAGCTGGTCACTCTCCTCAGCCGGAACTATCAGGTCTACTTTTCGTTTCGTAGCCATAATATTTAATTTAGCAGGTTAAATATGTGGAATTATAAAAATAAAATCGTTCATTCTACTGTCTGTATGAAGGAGACGGTGGCGGATGGTCCGTGTGGAAACAGCAACTGTTGCATAAACGTTCCGGATAAATATTGTTTTCGTATTTTATTAGTAAATTAAGTTAAGCTGGTTAAAAATGATTATTTTAGTGCATAAATAACGTGCTGGGTGAGACTGTAATCATTTGAATGTTTTTGTATTTTTCTTTATTTTTTTGTAACCTTGTGGTCGGCTGCGGCCCCTTTAAGGCGCGTTGGGTGTCGGCTCAAAGAGAAACCAGAGAAACAAGAAGAAGGAAACTCTGCAAAGCAAACATTTAAAGTTTGGCGGTTCGGACAGGTGAGGCGGTTCTGACCCGGTCCAGGTGAAATGATCTGTTTGTCTCTGTTGCTGTAAGGAAGTCAGAAACAGGAAGGTGTTTCTGTGGGATCAGTTTCCGTGTTACAGCAGAGAGCAGCGGGTCTGGTTCTAGTTCTGGTTCTGGTCCAGGTCGCTCTCTGTCTTCTGGTTCATGTTTATGTTCCACTGCTGGTGACACAGGTTGCATTCAGGTGTTTAGACGAGGGGTCTTCAAGGTTTTCCAGGCCAAGGACCCCCAAACTGATGGCCAGATCGAGCGGGGACCCCCTATTTATATATATTGCATGAAATTGTGTTATATCAAACTGGTCCTATAGTCAGTCTATTTCATATAGTGTCATGTAACGATAGTAATTTCTCCCTGGGATTATTAAAGTCTGATTCTGATTCCCTGTTGATGGGACAGGTGTTGTGAATGAAACGGTGCCCAGGTTTGAAAGAGCTCCTGTGTGCATTGATGACTGAAAGACATCTTCTGCCTCCATTTATCTGTTTACTACAGTCTGTTGGATTCATGTTAATGTGGATTTATAAGACATTTCAATTAATGGGGAAAAAATTCCAGGGGGGAATATAAAAAAAAGTCTAATCAACCAAAACTTTTGCGACCCCATGCAGTACCTCTGAGGACCCCCTAGGGGTCGCGGACCCCCTGTTGAAGACCTCCGGTTTAGACAATCAGATTCCAGGCTTCTGTTAAAACCGTCAGAGCTGCAGACTGAGGGGGAAGAAGGAAACATTGATCTATTTTATGGTTCTCTATTTAAAACCCTTCCTCCCTCCCTCCTCTTATGCGGGGTCGGGTTGCGGGGCTAGCAGCTTCAGTAGGGAGCTGCCATCCCCCCTCAGTAGGGAAAATATATGACCAAATAATAAAATGTGGAAAATCTATCCATTTTCTGTTATCCCAGCTGGGATGGTGAGGGGTGCTGGTGCCTATCTCCAGCTGTCAGTGGGAGAGAGGCGGGGTCCACCCTGGACAGGTCTCCAGTCCATTTCAGGGAAACACCGAGACAAACAACCATTCACACACACACCCTAAGGAGAATCTAGAGAAGCCAATTAACCTAACAGTCAATTTTTGGACTGTGGGAGGAAGCCGGAGTACCCAGAGAGTATGGAAGCAAATCATTACCATATTTAAAATGAAAAAGCATTTCCAGAAATGCTTTTTCATTTTAAGTATGGTAATGATTTGCTTCCATAGGAGAGAACCCACACATGCTCAGGGAAAACATGCAGAAAGACCCCGGGCCTGGAATCGAACCCAGAACCTGAGCAGCCCATTGGAAATTTAGAAAAAAAAAAAAATATCACTTAAAAATGGCTGAATAGTTTAGTTTTTGAAACATTTTCATCTAATCTGCCATTTAATCTGATCCAGGTCAGCGGGCCTGAGGCTCCGGATGCGGTCGTCATGGTGAAGGATGTTTCGGAAAGTCAAGAAACGACACAGCAGCAGCAGCTCACAGAGCAGTGAGATCAGCACCAAGAGCAAGGCACTGAGACCCCCCCCCACCACCCACACTCAACCAGCTATAATCCCTCCCCCCCCACTGTTCTAATCCAGCTTCTCCTCCTTCACAGTCTGTTGACTCCAGTTTGGGAGGCCTGTCCAGGTCCAGCACCGTCGCCAGCCTCGATACCGACTCCAACAAGAGTTCAGGTCAGAGAGGGGGGTGGGGGTGGGGGCTGGGGTCAAAACGCACAGAACCTGGGCGCAGTCTGACCGAAGGTGTGATTCCCTGTAGGAAACAACACGTCTGAAACATGCGCCGAGTTCCGTGTGAAATATGTTGGATCCATCCAGAACCTGCGATTTGAGATGAGCAGAACCCTCCAGGAACCGCTGGAGCTCATCAGCTACATCGATGCTGCTCAGGTTAGATGCAGACGAACGTCTGACAGGTGCTGCTGAAGAAATAGATCCTCAGAACCTCACAGCATCATTTTTAAATTATTTATGACGTGAGATTTAGACCTGGGGTTCCCAAATGATAATAATCATTGTGACGTTGTTCGCGGAGATAAATGTAGCGTACAGAATCTAATATGAAATATTAAAATGCACCATCATATAAAGAGATGTTTATTTATTGATCCATTACATGATTAAACACATTACCCGCATGTACCCGGTCCCGAGAGGGAACGCCTGTTAAATGTGTGCGAGAGCGTGCATGAGTCCATTTCTCCTCGTGCACGCTCTGATTAAAAGTTTCTGTTTGCGTCGCTCATACAAGCTTAGTTTCCAAAAGAAGATTCGCAATTTTTCCTCTGTCTCACCACCGGTAAGTGAAACGAGCACGTAGGACGGCCTTAACGTAAACACATCACCAGAATGATTGACAATTAGGAGGACCACTTATTGAGATGATCCACCCGGAAAAACAACATCCTTCACTACAGCTTTAAATCTACCAATAAACTGTAAAATACACCAATTAAACAATTAAAATAGTCATTCGTAAAAAAAAAAAATCTAAATGTATTTAATAAAAAAATTAATTTTAATCAAATACAATTTGTGTAATTGTATCTAATGTAATTTTACAAGAAAATATTTATTTTACAGTATTTATTTATTTTAAAATTTATTTATTTTATTTTAGTTATAATTGCTAAAGCAGATGTTGGCTGTTTAGAGATTCCTATCTTAGCATATTATGGGGAAAATTAATAACATCCATTAATCCGAAGTAAGTTTCCCACAAAGACGACAGGTGGTTTGAGAGCGGCATGAAGAAAGACAACCTTAAACAGAGGGGGTGGAGCAGCTGAGTTAATTCCTCCCGCTATCATCGCACCCCAAACCGCTTTACAGGGGAACAGAAGACCTCGCCTAATTAGCCAGGCCAACAATTCCCTCTAACGACCCCCCTTTCAGAGACATAGACAGGTATGGGGCATAACAGGCTAACAAAGAAGCCAAACGACCCCCATTCCAAAGGGGGGGACCCGTTCCTCCGTTTCTATTTGCATGTTTTCTAAACTAAAACCAGGCTTTGTTTGGCTGCTGGATAAAACCTGGAACTAAACGCTATTTCTGACATTTTGAATTGAAAAAGCTTCCTGGATGGAAGAGAAACGTCTTCAAACTTTGAAACAAAGTCAAATTTTTTTATTTTTTTTTGTTTTTTTAACTTTTTTGGAATACGTTTCCTACAGAAATAAAAAGCATTTTTATATTTCTACCTGCAAAATATTCCCTTTTGTTTTTTTTGTTTGGAAAATCTAAAATAAACTGGTCAGATTTGAACCCTTTAGTTTCCTCAAACATTTTAGATGCAACAAACCGAAACGGACACCTGAGTGAAGTTGGCCCCCCCACGTTCTTCAAATCAGACAAAATTAGTGTCAAACGTTTGTGCAGAAAAAATTTTCATTTGTGCCGCTATCGTTTTAAAGATATAAAGAAATATTTCTAGAGGTCATCAAAGGTCAACCAGCCCCCCCACCTTCTTCAAATCAGACGAAATGGGCGTCAATTAACTTGGCTCCGTTTGTGCAGCAAAAAATTTTGTTTGTGCTGCTTTGGCTTTGAAGATATTAAATTAGAGGTCATCAAAGTTCAACCAGCCCCCTCTAGAAACATCTCTTTATATCTCTAAAATGATAGGGGCACAAACGACAATTTTTGCTGCACAAACGTTTGACACCAACTTCGTCTGATTTGAAGAAGGTGAGGGGGGCTGGTTGACCTTTGACCTCTAGAAATATTTCTTTATATCTTTAAAACGATAGCGGCACAATCGAAAAATGTTTCTGCACAAACGTTTGACACTAATTGATTCTGATTCCTGGTTGATGGGACAGGTGTTGTGAATGAAACGGTGTCCAGCTTGAAAGAGCTCCTGTGTGTCGCTGAATGTGAGCATTGATGACTGAAAGACATCTTCTGCCTCCATTTTTGTTTACTACAGTGTGTTGAAATCATGCTAATATGGATTTAAAGACATTTCAATTAGTGGAAAAAATTGGAGGGGTGAATATAAAAAAAAGTAATCAACCAAAACTTTTGCGATCCCCATGCAGTACCTCTGTGGACCCCCTAAGGGTCACGGACCCCCTGTTGAGGACCTCGGTTCTAACCTTTAACTTTTTGCCGCCTTCGGTTTCAAACCAATAAATGGGAAGTTTCCAAACTAGTTTTTCATTGACTAACTTACATTAGGTGATGAAAAACTAACATTCCTCCAGACTTTAGACTCCTTTGAATTTTAAAACTGTATAATCGGCTAATTAGCTGCTGGTTAGTTGCTCTCCGACTCCCACAGAATAGAGATGATTTACAGAACATTAAAAGCTCTGATGGAGGCGTGCAGGTGGCGCAGCGGTTTGCAAGCACAACTCCAGGCCTCAGTCCTCCACTCGTCTGACCCGGGTTCGAATCCGACCTGTGGTCCTTTGCCGCATGTCTCTCCCCCTTCTCTCAAAAGAAATCAAATGGACTCAAATTAAATCTAAAGTAAGAATGATAATTTGCTGTAAGCAAAACAAATATTCAAAATAAATAAAATCTGTGTGTAAAGATAGGATTATTTTTTATCCCTTTTGTCTAAAATTTGCTGCATTTCTTTTACAGCAAGATGGGAAACTGCCCTTTGTTCCTGGAGACGAGGAGATGGTCCTGGGAGTGTCCAAGTACGGGGTCAAAGTGGCCTCAGTGGACCAGAGTGTGAGTAGACCACTTCTACACGCATTGACACAGACTGAAGATAGTTTTAATCTGATTGGTTGTCCCGTCTGGACAGGACGTCCTGCATCGACACCCTCTCTACCTGATCGTACGCATGCTGTGTTACGACGACGGCCTGGGGGCGGGGAAGAACCTGCTGGCTCTGAAAACCACCGACACCAAACAAGAGGAGTGCAGCATCTGGGTGTACCAGTGCAGCAGCTCGGTAGGTGTCCACCAATCAGACACACCGACTGATGTTCAGCCACCTGACCCGCCTCCGTCTGTCTGAACAGGAGCAGGCCCAGTCCATCTGCAAGGTCCTATCGGCGTCATTCGACTGCGCCCTGTCATCAAACAAACCCTGAGTCTGTGCCGCCTCACCTTCCGCAGCGTAGACCTGCTCTGTAGCAGCAGAACGTCTATGATGCGTTAGAGGAAGATCCACGGCGTCCAGCCTGGTGCATCACCAATCAGTGTTCTAACCAATCAGTAGGCAGCGCATCGCCTCCGAAGGCGGAGCTACTGTGAGGTTTTCTTTTTATTTCCCATTAAAGGTATTTATTTTATCTTTTAATTTCAAAACAAACACCAAAAAGAAGTGGAATCAGGCAGATTGTAGCATTTCTAAAAGACGAATTAACCCTATTGTTTAATTTAAAACTAAAAGGTACAAAAAGCTCCAGCCCATCTGTACGTCTTTTTTAACGGTAGGCATTAATGGGCGCCGGCACCAAACGGTACTACGACGTGTTTTACTGAGATCACGACAGTATTGGTACAGGAAGTCACTTTGCTCTGTTTTTAATTCAGCAGTTATGTAGGGAAACGTTTTGGTACCAAATCTTTAGTTTTTGTTTTGTTGCAGTGATTATATGTGGAGATATTCTGACTGGTTTTGATTGATGTTTACGGTTCCAAACCTCATGTTGTACAATAAACCAGAATCCTCTTTGCTTCTGTTCCAAATGTGAGAAAAACAATAAATCATTTAATGTGATGCTCTTTGTTTTGACTTATTATTAAAGTATCTCTAATCATGACGCAGAAGCCGCTAAAGGAAACATGCTAAAGCAAAACAAAAACACCTAACAAGGTGGAGAAGAGTTATAGACCCCAAAAGATAAAAGCACTATAAACCAAAAATAGTAATAATAAGCAATAAAATCACCTGAGTAAACAAACCCACACAAAATTATATTGATGGGGAAAAAAGCACCAAACCTCGAAAAACAAAAGACATTAAACACATACGAATTAGAAATATCGGAAAATTAAAAGTTAACCAAAAAAAAGAATTAAATAAAAAGAAAGTTAAGCAAAACAATGATCCATCTGTAGCAGAACATCAGAACGCCTTCGTCTGGAAAATGCCAGTAGCTCACTCAGATGGTGTCTGTCAGCATCAAACCTATATTTCCATAGATTGATTAATCACTGCAAAAACAAATTAGAAATAAGTGTCTTAAGATAAGTGTATTTACCCTTAATTTAAGTAGGTAGCTAACAGGATTTCCCAATGGAATGAGCACTGTAACGCTTAAAATAACAGAATTAGATAAGATGCACTCAAAATAAGACTATATAATTGTTTTTTTCTTATTTTAAATGTAAATTGTCTTGTTTCATTGTCTAAATGTCTCACTTACCTCAATTTAATGCACTTAATTTAAGGAAAAATGACTAGAATTTCTATTTTTTGCAGTGTAGTTGAGATTCTTACTTTGACTAGGCCGTTCTTAGACTTAAATTTGCTGTGATCCAACCATAGCTCTGGCTTTAGAGTCATCATTCCTTTTAAAGGAGAACTTCCACGCTGGTCTTTGTTTTTTCTCCAAAACAATTACACACACACAAAAAAAAAGCAATCCCACAGCATTGCTTAGGGGTGTGTGAGTCCAACTAAACGTACGCGACACTTTTCTGATGTCTTAAACCGTCTTTAAGAAAGCGTTGCCTCTACTATATGGTAACTCGACACTTACCGATGGTCTAACGAGATTCTGCAACATTTTGAATCCAAAAAATTTTTTTTGTATTCCGACCAACTAATAAAACTTATTTAGAGCTGCAAACATTGAAAAAAGATAACATGTTTAAGCAATATCAACCTAAATCAAGAAAACAAAAAAACTAAACTAGAAGCTAAATAAATTGTTGGGTTGCTGAAATTTTTAGACATTTCTGTTCAATTTTTCTCCACTTAAAAAAGATTTAAAAAATATATTTGTGTTCAATTTAGAGTCATTTTTTTTTTAAGTTAAACATACTTTAGTCAAAGGAGGAAATGCCAACCAGCATTAGTTAGTATTTCTATTTTTTCACAGATCATATTTAGACAAAGTCTAAAAGGGCCATAAATATTTTAAGCTTTAAATATGTGCAAATTTGTGATACACCAGCCTTCTAGGGGTGTGAATACTTTAGCGAAGCATTTTGGAGGCATCTATTGGGGGTTCAATGCTCAGCCTTTTAGCTCAGTTCAGAATTTTGTGCTTAAATGTTCCTTTTCTTCCCCCCCCCCCCATAGTGAAATGTGAATGTTTGAATACTCACCAGTAGAGGGAGCCCTTGCATTATTTAAAACTTTTTCCTTTTTTGCCTGCTTATACAGCTGATAAAATCCACTTCTTACCCTGTGAGTTAGTTCTTTGAAAACCGAACAGTGAGAGAAAAACCACAGAGACATCATCTCATAATTTATTTTTCTTCCAGTTGTATTTTCTCTTTCCCTTCCACACTTCAGGAGTCAGGTTCATGAGCGCCTGCATTTCCAGCTGCTCATCACCGCAGTTCACTTTAATCACATTTCGTGCTCTGACCTTTTTAAATACAAACAAAAACTCCATATGTATTTACATAAATAGGCGACTACATCCTGTTTCCAGTGAGTTTTACACAAGAGGCAGCTTCTCTTCTTGTCTTCAACAAATACATGAAATGCTCCCATTTCACCTCAATATGAACACAGATTCTCTGCAACTGCAATGAAGTTAATTAAGCTGGATTATTAAAAGCGTCGTTCTACCTCTCAGCTTCCCAAACGCGGCAGTAACTGCAACTTTCTTCACATTTTCTCTAAATCTCTAAATTCTTTTCACTTGCAGCTTATTCTGTGCAGATGTCGCCTCAGCACCGATGCAAACATCTGAAACTCGCTGAGATCGTAACGAGCAGCTTGACTGAGAGTCAGACCTGAAGACGGAGCGTTGCCTAGCAACAGGCGTGGATGGATGATGGGCTGGGTTAATGTTCAAAAAGGCTCAGATTTTCAATCACAATTTTACAGTTTTAAGTCCTTTAAATGAGAAGCACCATCTGTGTGAAGCAGGAAGTAATTTAGCATGGTCCCTCCCCCACCTATTGCTGCCTACTGCTGCTCAGCTGGCTTGGAGAAGGCTACTGGACCGTTCTAGTAGTGAAAAACACAAACAGCCCCAATGTTAATTTAAAATGGCGTCGCTAAGGGTGATAAAAATGTCGACGAAAACCAGCTAACAGTGGGGGATAGCAGTACGGCTCTCCTCCCGGGGCGCCGTTTAACCAGCGGGCAGCATGAGCACAGATTAAAGGAAGCGTTAATTAACCAGAATGATTTTCCTATTATTGCCCTAACTTACATTTAGAAGAGCGTTAAACACTTTGACTAGCTAACGTTGCTGGTATGAGACTAACAGGAGGTTCAGTTTATTTAAAGAAATCCTTCCTTTGGTCGATTATCTGTCAATCAGAAGCTAAAATAAAGCAGACTCAGCCTGATTGCTCTAAACTTTAAAACTCAGTTATAAGATTAAAGAAAAAAAACTTTTCTTATTCAAAAAAAATTATCATTAAGAAATTGGAACTAATTTGGTTAGAAAGAAAAGTGAAATGGGCCAAATCCAAACTAAAGATCGAATTTGATTAAAGTTTTAATTTAAAGATGGTTTCAATATGTTTATCCTTTACTCTGAGGAGAAAAAGGATCTAGTTTAGATTAAAACAACTTGCTGCTGTTTCTGTATAAAGGAAAATAAACATTGATCAGATGGTGTGAGGAGAAGCCTAATAATCAACTTCACAGCAGTTGGTTTAATTATTGCTTTTCTGTTTTCTGGTCCGATGGTTCTGATAAGTTTCAGTGCGACCACCCCAATGTCTACTAGACTCCCTACACTAAACTAAAACCGATGAGTTCTGGAAAAGTGTTTAGAGAAGAAGGAGCAGCATAAATTCATCCCAAACATCAGATTAAAGGTTCGGTCCTCCTGCTGCGATGGAATGGAGGCTTCTGCTCCTCTGAGGTTCATTTAGCACCGTTAGCACCTCCTCCACTCAAGAGGAACCCTAAACATCTACAAAAACTGTATCTACAGAACAGAGCTCATGCACATACGAGGAATGTAAGCATATTTTCTAAGTTCACATTTAGAGCTGGAGGTTTGTTAAAACAGATGAAACAAACACTGTGACCTTCATTATGTTGGAACACGGTTTACGACGAGCAGTCGATTTAGTGCCAAATCGTTGTTTTCTTTAGTGTTAGGAGCTGAACCCCCCCCCCCCCCCCCCCCCCCATGGGTCCTCTGTGGAAGGCAGCACTGCTGCAGTGAAGATGGCGAGAAGAATCTCACAACGCCTTCCGGAGAACCGCAGTGCTTCGTCATTCGGTGATGAAGTGAACGAATGTGACGGGGAAGGCGCCTCGTCTCATCGGATCTCCTTCGATGTGGCCCAGCTGTGCAGAAGAAAGACAGAAGGAACGTTACAGACAAAGCAGAGGTCAGAGGGGGAGAAAGAAAAGAGACTAAACCAAAAAACAATTAGTAGACTAATGCAAACCAAAAGACAAAAAACAAACCAATAAACCCTAATAAAGGTACTACTGAGAAGAAAAACAAAAAAATTTACTAAAAAACGAAACAAAACAGAAATTAAAAACGTGTTCAACTCACTAAACAAAAATGGGGGACTGAACAAAAAAAAAAAAGACTAACCCCTCCCCCAAAAAAGAACTAAATTGTATAAAAAATAGGGACTAAACCATAAAAAGCACTAAACCCAATAAAAAAAAAACACTCAACCAAAACAAAACACGGTAAAGTACGCATGTTTTAGTAAAGATGTGAAATAAATAAAAATAAATAACTTTCCATTTACAGCAGCATGATGTCACACAGGGAAGATGGAAAATATAGTTGGTGGCAGAAAAAAAAAAAAATTTAAAAGAATAATTTACATCTAAATCATTTATTATGCAGTTTGGACCCCCTTTTGCCTTCAGAACTGCCTCAATTCTTGGTGGCATAGATTCAACAAGGTGCTGGAAGCATTCCTCAGGGAGTTTGGTCCATATTGACATGATGGCATCACACAGTTGCCGCAGATTTGTCGGCTGCACATCCATGATGCGAATCTCCCGTTCCACCACATCCCAAAGATGCTCTATTGGATTGAGATCTGGTGACTGTGGAGGCCATTTGAGTACAGTGAACTCATTGTCATGTTCAAGAAACCAGTCTGAGATGATTCCAGCTTTATGACATGGCGCATTATCCTGCTGAAAGTAGCCATCAGAAGTTGGGTACATTGTGGTCATAAAGGGATGGACATGGTCAGCAACAATACTCAGGTAGGCTGTGGCGTTGCAACGATGCTCAATTGGTACCAAGGGGCCCAAAGAATGGCAAGAAAATATTCCCCACACCATGACAGCACCACCACCAGCCTGAACCGTTGATACAAGGCAGGATGGATCCATGCTTTCATGTTGTAGACGGCAAATTCTGACCCTACCATCCGAATGTCGCAGCAGAAATCGAGACTCATCAGACCAGGCAACGTTTTTCCAATCTTCTATTGTCCAATTTGGATGAGCTTGTGCAAATTGTAGCCTCAGTTTCCTGTTCTTAGCTGAAAGGAGTGGCACCCGGTGTGGTCTTCTGCTGCTGTAGCCCATCTGCCTCAAAGTTCGACGTACTGTGCGTTCAGAGATGCTCTTCTGCCCACCTTGGTTGTAACGGGTGGTTATTTGAGTCACTGTTGCCCTTCTATCAGCTCGAACCAGTCTGGCCATTCTCCTCTGACCTCTGGCATCAACAAGGCATTTCCGCCCACAGAACTGCCGTTCACTGGATGTTTTTTCTTTTTCGGACCATTCTCTGTAAACCCTAGAGATGGTTGTGCGTGAAAATCCCAGTAGATCAGCAGTTTCTGAAATACTCAGACCAGCCCTTCTGGCACCAACAATCATGCCACGTTCAAAGTCACTCAAATCACCTTTCTTCCCCATACTGATGCTCGCTTTGAACTGCAGGAGATTGTCTTGACCATGTCTACATGCCTAAATGCACTGAGTTGCCGCCATGTGATTGGCTGCTTAGAAATTAAGTGTAACGAGCAGTTGGACAGGTGTACCTAATAAAGTGGCCGGTGAGTGTATGTGAAAACAGCGATTTTAAAGAAGGGGAAAAAGAAAAAGTCCTAAAAGAGGGGATGCCCAGTCTCCATAGCAACCATTAGATACCAGTAACCAGAAAAAGCACGAGAGGGAAAAAGCTCTTTTCATCCTAGTTTGCTTAGAAAGGAAGTGGAAATCCCCTCATCCCCATGGTTTAGTTTGGTGGAGGATCTGTGATGCTGAGGGGCTGTTAATGGAACGTAGAGTGCATTGATCCCCTGGAAATATCAAGACAAATCAGCCTTCTTAGCTTCTAGACCCAAATGATAGAGAAAACCTGTCGGCTGGGCCTGAGAGACAATCAGAGGAGATCAGAGCATCAGGACTGAGCTTAGACTCCTCCCTCTAAGGAGACTCACTGATGTCCTTTATTTGATCAAATGTGTTCGGTGTGAAGTCATACAGCTGCAACAGAAGATCCTCTATTCTTACACATCTTTCTCAGAGGCGCAACCAAAACAACTGAATAAACCGCAATAAAGGGTTAAACCTACTGGATGGAAATAAAATGATCTGATACCCAAAAGTATTAAATGTCTTATAAAAAAAGACTCCATCCCATCACGGCCGTTACTAAAAGTACAACAATCTTTATCGCTGGTTTTTCTAGCTTTTATTCTTCCCAATTAAAGTTCTTCAAGATTTCCAGAAGATTAAACTTAATTTAACATCTAATAAAGACTACCTGCCTTTAACAGAAGGTTGTCCATCCGTTCCAGGTGCCTAAACCTTCAGATCAGATCAGTTTCCCTTAAAGTTTCTCTGTTCATGCTTTATTAAAAAAAATACTCACAGCACATGTTGTCACGCCACAACCGCAAACTTCAGGTTATCTTTCAAGAGAACGCGACTTTGATGATGATGCTGATGGAGGGATTTTAGTTTTTTTTTTGTTTTGATAAAAGTAAAAACCTTTCTAGTTTGTAAAGCCCGGCGTAACTTCAGAAGCCGAGTCCGCCAGTGTCTGATTTAGAGACCGATCTGTGATTGCATTGATCCATATCTGCAAGCGTTCGCTGATCCATTAGTGTATTCAGCAGTCATGCATCGAGATCAGCTGAAGCGCTGCATTGCTGCTCCCTTCATCTGCTAAACAATGTTCAGCTTTTCTGAACGGTTCATAAATGTTTCATTTGTTTAAAGCTACAGTTTGTAATATTTGGAGGATTTACTGACAGAAATGTGATATATGTTGCCTTAAATGTACTCTTGTGTAACATTTCTCTGTAATTTTTATCATGTAAATGAGAAAAAAAGTGATACTGGCCAAGAAAATTGGTTCTATCGGTTAGATTGCTGTAAGAACATAAAAAACAAAGAGTATCCGTCGATCAGTAGTTTGATTTATTATGGCTTCACCTGCATCATGAAGACCACGGAAGCCCGGGAAACAGCTCAGGGAGGAAGTTCAGGTTCGCTCAAAGCTGAGCTAGCTTCAGAGTATTGTTTATTTGTTCTTTCAAACATAATTTATTGTATTTTATTGTTATGATCTATAATTATTCCTATGATGGCAGAACTTGTTGATCTAAGGAGCAGCCAAGAGGCTCATGGTGAGATCCACAGTTCACCATCTGGTCTTTGTCAAACCGCCATCATGAGGCCCGCCTGGCACCAACATATAGCAGAAGATGCCCCCCTATGAACGCCACCCCTGCTGTTAAACATGGTGGAGGCGGCATCATGCTGTGGTGAAACAGTTCTACAGGGGGATGAAGGAGGAACGAAGAAGGATGGAAAAGCCTAGAAGGATAAACTCCTGTAGGCCGGTAACCATAGCAACCGCGGACACGTTTAGATCAAAGTGCCTATGTGTCAATGTGGCCTGGTCCAAGTCAGGATCTGAAAATATTTGGCGTTTTTCTTGCGAACATTTAACAGAAATTGTGTTTCTAACGTGGGAAAGTTCAAAGGGTGTGAAAACCTTTGGATGCCAAGAAATAATCCACCCAGGAGTTTAATGAACAGAAATCTAATTAAATCTCTAATATCACCTACATCACAACAGACTCACTCCACTACTGGATTCAAAAGGAGATTCTTTTTTTTATATTACCTGGGCTGAGAAAGAAGGAAGTACTTAATATGTCCATGCAAGTCATTTTAAACAGCGGCTAGACCTGAAAATAAAAACAAACTGGGACATGTTCTGATTCCATAATGTTTACAAATTAATCAAGTGAACAAAGTCTGCCTTTACGGAAACATCCAGCTAAATCAGATTCCCTTTTTTTCTGATTATAAAAGCCTGCCGGTGTGAAGAGAGGAGCTGCAGTATGTCTGAAACAAACATGCTGATTAGAGGATAGACGGGAGCAGAAGCAAAGTAGGGAACCTCAGGAGAGCTGGGCTTCATGCAGGGACAGAAAGGGAGACTGACTAAATACGGTCATATGTGCAGGGGTGGCACAGAGGAAAACAAGCTGCAGCTGGCCGGCGCTCCACAGAGGAAGCAGCAGGACCGGGCTGTTGGGTTCTGTTCAGCTAGAATGAGGTCAGCTTTCTGATAATAGGGTTTCAAACAGGAGTCAGTGTGAGTTACATGGACCGCTTCAGTTTGAACGATACTGACCCACCACTCCTGGTCCTCCTCTCCATCCACCACGATCACATCCCCCTCAGAGAACGTCAGCTCGTCTGGGTTGTCGGCTACGCAGTTGTACATGGCTTTCACCCGCTTTGGTCTCTGCTTCTGGGACAAGAGGAAGACAAACATGAAAAGGCTGGAATCTGTGCAGGACCTTCAGTTTCCTTTTAAAAGGACAACATACACCTGTGGTGTTTTTATTTATGCCATGGTCAGTGAGCATGCATCTGCACGCTTAAGGGCGGGTTATACTCCTGCAGCAGTGTGTCGCAGTGAGCTTGACGCAGACATTTTTGATTTATGCTCAATATTGAAGCGTGGTCTGTCTGTATCTCTATGCGCTGTGGGTCTAGATACGGCCGAGGCGACGAGGAAGTGGGGGAACTTTATCCGACAACGGAGGGACATGAGGGCCAAAAAGAGCGGAGATCCAGGTGGAAAAAGGGTCCCAGCGTTCTCGTGCACCTCGCTCTTCCAGCTGGTCAAACTTCACGAGTTGTTTTCTGCAACTGCGGTCATAAAAACAAAACAAGCCGGCCTCCTGTCTGCGGTAACTTACAATTTGGGAGAGGTGCAGCTGAGTGTCTGCGGTGGGGGGGGGACGACTTTTTGTTCACTGAGACACCTACGCAGACGGCCTGGTTTCGAAGTATAAATCAGCCTTTAGTTCAGCTAGATCAGGGGTCACCAACGCGGTGCCCGCGGGCACCATGGGGCCCCTTAAGGACCACATGGGGGGCGCTCTTCGTCTTCTGAAAACAGAAGAACTCACTCAGTGGGTTAAGTTTAATTCTTTTTATTCTGTTGCTCTTCTTTTTGATCATTTATGTATTATTTCATCATAGTTCAGTGGTTTCAAAATGACAATATTAAAGGCACACTATGCAATATTTTTCAGTTAATTAATGTGTTCCATAACGTTTTGGATGATTAAATGAGTCATTTCAGGTTAAACAAAGGTTTTCTCGGCCGCCCTGGTGGTCTGTGGGGGAAATACCGCACTTGCAATTGCAGGAGCACCGACCCGCACCCACAGGCTCAGAAGTCTCGCGAGAGTCGGTCTTGCTTTACGGCGAGAACTGCTACACGCCCCCAGTTAAAAGCATTGTTGTTGCTAGCACAGTGGCGATCTTTGTGCAGTGCTGCTTTCACACCGGACGCAGCAAAATCGTGTCTGCTGCTTCATTTTTACTGCTTGTACCAGTTAGTTCTGACGCACGGCTGAAGCAGCTTTGCTGCTCTGGCTGCGCGGTGCAAACGTGTGTCTGACGCGCGTTGGGCGGAGCTTCACTATCCTTTCTCTGCCTTGCAGCTATATTTGCTGTGATCAGTGGGAATAAAGTAGTTTTAATATGTTTTTAAGTGAAAAAATACACCTGAAAACGTAATCATTGCAGATTCAGATTCAGATTACCATCCTGCCTTACAATATTTTTTCTGTCGGAGCCGCTCAGACCCCCACATACCAGCGCCGACAGTAGGGATCCCTTCATCAGCAGCCTCTGGCCGGGTCGCCTCCTCGCGGTTCACCGCGGCAGCTGGTAGGTGTTTTTTTCATCTAAATAATCCAAACTGCAGGCAGCAGGATAATAAAAGCGAACATATTCTGCCGGCAGATTTCTGCATTTTAAGTTAATTTAGGCGTCAATAAACTGTTTAAGAGGAGTAATCACAGCGCTCTGATCATCAGCTCTGTGTCTCTCTCTCTGCCAGCTCCCAGATCAGCTTCTCTGATTGGTTGACGCGGCGCGTCGAGCAGCAAAAATTCAATTTTTCCATCTCGAGCAGCAGCGCGTTTTCGGCGCGTCAGATGCTTAGTCATTCGTTGCGTTCGCCTGTCTGCTAAGCTCAAAACAACCGCGCCTGGCTTGACGGAGAAACCAGGAGAACAGCTGTGCATATTTACGACAGTGCACTTTTACTTTCGCCCTCTGGGGGGAGCCTCGCTGGAAAATCAACACCTGTTGCATAGTATACCTTTAAAAAGAAAATTAGACATGAATAAATGAATAAAAGAATAAAAATGAGTTTTTATGGATGAGATTTACTGTAGGTGAACACTGATCCCTCCAGTTCATAGGTCAGTATTGGTAGCCATTCCTATGACTTGGTAGCCATGAAGTAGCCCTCAGCCTTAAAAAGGTTGGTGACCCCTGAGCTAGATAAATCACTGCCACATCACTCTGCTACAGGCGTCACCATAGCAACGTGCAAACTAGTGGTAGCGTGGATCTTTAGGTGAATTCTAACAGACAAAACACTTTTATGAATGTTACAAATATATAACAACAATAAATACATTTGCCTCCATAGTTAAAATGTGAATATTAAAATGACATACTGTATGTGCATGTGTTAGCTAATTTAAACAAAATTAAATCAAATAATCGCGCATGGTATTTAAAAAAAATAAAAACCATCAAAAATAATTAGTTTCATCCAGGTGATTAATTTCTTTGTTGTTGGACTCTGTGCTGCCCCGACCTGTTGCTCACCACAAACCAAAATAAACAGTTTTTCAAAATGATGGAAAGTTAAATGTGACTGCTAACATTAGTTATCAAACTAAGAAAATGAAGTTTAAAGGAAGTTATCATCCAGAATTGTAGAAAATGTTCCTTCAGTAGAGCAGAGAAGTAAAGCTTCTGGCCTTAACATTTTTCCCTGCATTATGTTCACTTTATACTCCAAGTAGTTTTAAAAAATGGTACTTTCACACGTTTTCTTGAGTAAAAAGCTTAAGTTGATTCTTTAACTTCTATGAGTGTTTTTAAACAGTAGGATTTATACTTCTACTGGAGTAATAAACAATACTTTGCACATTTTGTTAATCTTGACAATAATCAGTAAGCTTAAAAATAAATAAAGGCCAGCAAAAATAGCTCCTATATTACAACATAAAAAGGGAGTTCAGTAAATAAAATATGCTTATAAAATGTTTTACTCTGTGGGACCAAGTGGATTGAACAATTTGAAGCTGTGCATTTCACGGTTTTAATATATGATGAAGTGCATTAAAACCGTGAAATGCACCATCCCTGGTCGTTTACTTCTTATGAAATAAATCCTACAGTATTTGCCCTCTTTCTCTTTTTTTTTTTTTTTTTTTTTTTTTTTTTTTTTTTTTTTTTTTTTTTTTTTACAGTGTCCTGTCTGGCAAGGTGGCAATAAGAATAATTGTCTTGATGCCAAAAGGAGCCCAACAGATTTTACTTTCACAAGTGTAGCGGTATCGCAATTGCCATACCGCTCCACTTGTTTCATGTATATAAATTGCTTTATTATAATTATGCAGGGAGTTTTACAGTTCATATGGACACTGCAATGTAAGTAGAGCAGAAAAACAGAAGAAGAAGGAAAAAGAAAAAGAAAAAAACAGGACAAAAGATGAAAGAAAGAGGAGATAGGAAGGAGACAATGACAAAACATTTTCAGTCTGCTTCAACACCTGTAATGAGATGGAGAAAAAAAAAAAAAAAAAAAAAAGAAAAAAAGAAAAAAAGAAAAAAGAACAGCACAACCAAAAAACATGGTACGAGATATACAATAAAGCAAACACCTTGAAACTATCGCTAAAGTAATATTATTAAGTCTGACATGTACTCTGTGTTACCTGAAGATATGAATGTGGGGTTTCTGTTTGGAAGTGAATCTCTAAGTACCTGAAGCCTAGCACCTGTAGTTGTTTGTGAGGGTGAACTTGTGCATGTAAAGTTTTAACCATAGAAAAAAATGCTCAATAGTGGTTGTGGAGAGCCGGAGAGGCACACCCCCCAGAGCACTGAGTCCAGCGCCGGGAGACCCAAAGCCCCAGGCGCCCAAGGGGACCCCAGAAGCGAAGGCACCAAGGCGGGGCCAGCCCCGGAAATCAGACCCCGCCAAGGCAGGAGGAGAGACAGCCACGAGGAAGCCCCCCAGCCACCGCCATGCCGGCGCCCCGGGGAGCCGCGGGGACGAGTCCGCGGGCCCCGCCGGCAGCCGGCCACTCCGAAGTAGGGCCGGGCGCCGAACACCAGCCCCCCCACGGCGCCGACCGAAACGCCCCAGCCCCACAGAGCACCGAAACACGCCCCGCCCCCCCCGCACCAAGCCCCGGCGACCGGCCGCAACACCCACCGCGACCGCACCACCCAGGAAAACACTAAGGCGGCCCCGCCCCCGGCCGGGGCCCATGCGCATCCGCCGCGAACCGGCCACGAGCGCCGCGGGACCCCCCCCAAAACGCCCCCCCGGCCAAAAGCGCAGCCCCACCCCACCAAGACCGATGCCAACAGCGCGCAACGAAACACACCGCGCACAGAATCAGCCCGAGAGCAGAAAAGCCGCCCGGCGCAAAACCGCAAGAGGAGCAGACCGCAGCCGGCGCAACCACCCCCCCCAGCAGCCCGAGGGGCAGCACAAAGCCAGAGCGGAGCGAACCGCGCCGCCCCCCCACCGGACGATGCCAAAGCAGCCCAGCCACGTCCGCCACCCCCCCCCCGCAGCCCGCACCAGGCCCCGACACGCGGCCAGAGCAGCTCCGCCGCCCCGGCCCCCCACCACGCGCCGGTCATAGCCACCCCAGGCCCCCACCCGCCCCGCAGCCCCACCCGCCGCGATCAGTGGGAACAGAGCAGCCCCGCCATGCCTCCAGGAGGGAAAACCCACCCGAATACCCAGCCAGCGCAGCCAGCCCGCCCAGACCGGCCCCCCAACACTACCACCGCCGGAGCCGCCCGGACCCCCCCACACCAGCGGCGCGCCGCCCGCAGGACCCCCACCCAGCAGGCCCGCCTGCCCCCCGAGAAAACTGACATGCCAAACCCCCCAAAGAAAAAAAGAGAAAAAGAAAAAAAAAAAAAAAAAAAAAGGGGCCCCCACAATGCGACAGCGGACACCAGACACCGACCCGCCCGCAACCGCTCCCCCCCACCGCTCTTTCTAACGTCTAAATTTAAAGTGATTAATACCTATAAAAAAAAATTATAAAAAACTTGGGTTAGTTTTTAACCTCAAATCGTGCAAAACTGATAAGAACTTCTTAATAACATCTAAGTTAAATCAGTTTGCGGAGAAATAATCATACCAGTCAGATATCAGGTGAATTGTAATGGCTTAGCAGAACAAACACATGGCATATGTTTTTTTATGAAAAAAGAAATAAAAAAATTGTCAATTTTATTGTTTTATTTAGATTACAAAAATAAATCGTAATAAAAATAATCCTATTTATGATGTTTTAAAAATTAAGACCTACGAAAGACTGATTTAAAAAATTTTTAATACCAATTAAGGCCTTAGTTTTATTTTGAAGAATTCAATGCCTTTTAAGACTTTTTAAGGACCTGCGGAAACCCTGCTAAGTGCTACAAAAAAATAACAATGAAAATAACTAAAGATGAAAAAAGACAGCTTTCTTTCTTGATTATTCTTCATTCTCTGGCATCGTATCAATGCCTCCTTTGTAGCAACAATGAATGCAGATATTTACATCATTTTTGCACCAGACTTTCAGAAGTGGTTAAAAAGATGCAAAAACCACGGCTTCAGTGGAGCTGAAGCCGTGGTTTTTGCTTCAGACCCGCGGGAACCCTGACTTATCCATACCGGTCAAAATTAGGCAACTGCCAAGACAGGAAGTTTCACAAGTAAAGATTTTTCCCATATTGAACAACTTCCTGTCTTGTCAATTGCCTAATTTTGACCCTCAGACCAAAAATCTTTTTGTTTTTATAATCTAAGATTATGGTCGATTTGGATCAACCTTTAAAAAAAAGTAACTGCAGAGTAAAAGCTGAAAATTCCAGCAGAACATATATGAAAACAATCAGAAATCTATTCAAATCTCTTCATTATTCAAGCTGGCAGTTTTAGGATTTATTTAAATCAAATATTAACTTCTGGGTCGGAACTGGTTTGGGCCTAAAAACCACAGAAAAAACATTTTCCATGAAATGTTCCATGTTTGCATGTCAACAGTTCCAGAAACAGGGCTAAACGACTTCTTAGTCAAAGCCCAAATAAAGACTACAGGAAGGAAATGTAAAGAACAGGAAACCAACAAAAACACAGCAGCAACAGGAAGGGAGATTACAGAAGAATAAGAGGGAAAAAGGGGATTAAAGAAGCTGTGCAACCAAATAAAGCGTTCCTAAACACATAATCAGGGTAATTATAAAGATGAGTGAAAGACTCACAGGGTACGCCTTCCTGGACGTGGGGCCCGGAGGCCCCGAGTTCTGGGGACATCCTGGCACTTCCTTAGCTGGAACAGGAAAAAGGAAACTAAATCAGAGCAACACTTTCCACACTGTTATAAAAGAAGAGAAAAATAAGCTTCCTCTCTGTAAAATGGATGCCCTCCGATTCATTCGCTCACCTGCTCGCTCTATAGATTCACTTCGGTTCAGGAATCCTCGGCTGAAGCTTTTATCATTGCTGAAAATGAAACAGACATAGAAGATCAGTTCACAGGCCAGTGAGAAGGATCCGTCCATCGCAGCGCGGGGGAGCGGATAGAGCAGTGGACTCTGTCTTCGTGTTCTTACCCAGCAGGAGATTTTGGCGGCACGGATCGGGTCCCTAACGGACCCAGACCTGACTTGGACTGAAGGCTCAGGGCTTCCATCTTGGCTCCAGGGGCGAGAGCCAGACCTGAAATACATATTATTAGCCCCAACATTAGACTCTAACTTCTTTTTTAGGTCGAGTAAAGCAGTTAAATAATTAAATATTTCTTTGAAAAGCTGCAGAAGTTTATAACAATTATCTATTAATGCGCTGGAATGATTTTAATTGGATGCCAAAGTCCTGGACTGAAGGAAAAAGTAAAGCAAAAAATAAAACTAAATACAGTGGGGAGAACAACTATTTGATACACTGTTGATTTTTCAGGTTTTCCCACTTGCAAAGCTTCTAGAAGACTGTCATTTTTTTCATAGGTTCTCTTCAACTGTGAGTGATGGAATCATAAATTTAAAATACAGAAAAATGAAATACGTATTTGATACACCAGAACAATGAAACTTAATATTTGGTACAGAAACCTTTGTTTGCAATTACAGAGATCAGACGTTTCCTGTAGTTCTTGACCAGGTTTGCACACACTGCAGCAGGGATTTTGGCCCACTCCTCCATACAGATCTCCTCCAGATCCTTCAGGTTTCGGGGCTGTCGCTGGGCCACACGGACTTTAAGCTCCCTCCAAAGATTTTCTATTGGATTTAGGTCTGGAGACTGGCTAGGCCACTCCAGGACCTTAAGATGTTTCCTACGGAGTAGGGGTGTGCAAAATAATCGTGATGATGATGCATTGTGATTCTAATTTTCGTGATCTACTGCTTGATGCCAAGAATCGATTATTAATTTAAAAAAATGAATAAATAAAATTGCATGAATGGTTGGCGAACATCAGCCATAAACAAGTGCAATACCACTTCCAGTCCAGTAGATGTCGCTGCAAATGTGTTGACGCCCGCTGCCTTGTGTCACAAGCATTTCCGGCCGTGGGATACTGTGCCGAGTCATTCAAAAACAAAACATGGAGGAGAAAATATTGCAATGCATCGCAATAATTCAAGTATCGTGATGCATCGTGATAGAATCGCATCGTGGCCTGTGAATCGTGATTCGAATCAAATCGTGACTTCTTTGGCAATACCCACCCCTACTACGGAGCCACTCTTTAGTTGCCCTGGCTGTGTGTTTTGGGTCGCTATCATGCTGGAAGACCCAGCCACCACCCATCTTAAGTGCTCTTACTGAGGGAAGGAGGTCGTTGGCCAAAATCTCACGATACATGCTCCCATCCATCCTTCCCACAATATGGTGCAGTCGTCCTGCCCCCTTTGCAGAAAAGCATCCCCAAAGAGTGATGTGTCAACCGCCATGCTTCACGGTTGGGATGGTGTTCTTGGGGTTGTACACATCATTCTTCATCCTCCAAACATGACGAGTGGAGTTTAAACCAAAAAGTTCTAATTTTGTCTCATCAGACCACATGACCTTCTCCCATTCCTCCTCTGGATCATTCAGATGGTCATTTGCAAACATCAGACGGGCTTTGACATGAGTTGGCTTGAGGAAGGGCACCTTGCGTGCACTGCAGGATTTTAATCCTTGACGGCGTAGAGTGTTACTGATTGTTTTCTTTGAGACTGTGGTCCCAGCTCTATTCAGGTCATCGACCAGGTCCTGCCGTGTAGTTCTGGTCTCATTCCTCACCTTCCTCAGGATCAATGATGCTCCACGAGGTGAGATCTTGCATGGCGCCCCAGACCGAGGGAGATTTTCCGTTATTTTGTATTTCTTCCATTTTCTAATAATTGCACCAACTGCTGTTGCCTTCTCACCAAGCTGCTTGCCTATTGTCCTGTAGCCCATCCCAGCCTTGTGTAGTTCTACAATTTTATCCCTGATGTCCTTACACAGCTCTCTGGTCTTGGGCATTGTGGAGATGCTGGAGTGTGATTGGTTGAGTGTGTGGACAGGTGTCTTTTATACAAGTTCAAACAGGTGCAGTTAATAGAGGTAATGAGTGGAGAACAGGAGGGCTTCTTAAAGAAGAACTAGCATGTCTGTGAGAGCCAAAATTCTTACTGGTTGATAGATGATCAAATACTTATTTCACACAATAAAATGGAAATTAATTATTTAAAAATCATACATTGTATTTCTGGATTTTTGTTTTAGATTCCATCACTCACAGTTGAAGAGTATCTATGATAAAAATTACAGTCTTCTACAAGCTTTGCAAGTGGGAAAACCTGAAAAATCAACAGTGTATCAAATACTTGTTCTCCCCACTGTATCTGTTAAAGCTCCAGCCACTAGTTGGCAGCGCAGCACACAAGAGCCTACAATTCAGCTGCTCTGCACCCCCCGCAGCAGAGCAACGAGAACTTATGAGATTTTCCAGAGCTATAATATTATACAAAATCACAATATAATTAGTGTATTGTGATATATAGTGATACATTTTATTGTAAAACATCTTTTGTGATACGCATTGTATGGAAACATTCTTGCAAATTCATATCCCTACAACTAAATATGCCAAAGTTAGCTTGAAAGACAACATTTTTGATATTTTAACGCATTATTGTTGTCACTGGTACACAATAAAAAAAACATATCAAAAGCACACAAAGAAAAAATAGAGGAGCTAAAGTCGGGCGTTCTCACCTCCAGTAGAAGTTAGCCTCAATGGGGGGATGGGGGGATGCATGTTGGGAGGGTCTGAGGATGATCGCTGTCGGCCGACCAGATCTAAAGAACCTGGCTTCCAGCTACTGGAGGAAGGAGACTGACCGATTCCCAGAGAGGAAAACTGAACTGCAAGAGATAAAGGCGGACTCAGAGAGAAGGAATTACTCTTCCTCCTCCATTTTATACACAGCGTGCTACGCTAAGGGCCGGATCTTCAAAGATTGTTATAACTAATGTAAGAGCAGCTCCTTTTGAATTTGAAATTCTAACCAATTTCTTCGGCCAGTTAAAATGAAAAGATGGCGTCTTTTACAGGCTGTTTGAGAGTCAACTCAAAGAAAGATGAGGTTCTAAGCCATTTGTTTGAAGGTCATTAATGATAATAATTATAAAAAAATGTATGATTCTAATACTAAATAACATTTATAGAGCACTTTAGATGTTAGCCTAAGCAGGGTTCCTACAGCATAAGGCAAGTTAAATTCAAGACTTTTTAATGCCACTTGAAATAAAAATTTAAGACCAAATTCACAAGAAACACAAGAAAAAGCTGCTTGTGACAACTTAACCCAAAGGTTTATTTTAACATAAACCACTGCACTAATGTTTCAAATTTTGAAAAGCTTCCCATACAGGAAGAAAGCTAAAAACACACAAATGACAGATATATTTGAACAATTATTTAACTGAATTCACAAACTTTGTTTTAGCAGGGAACAAAACAAATCAGTTTTAAAGCCACAACATAACCAGTGCTAAGTCTTTTTTGCAGCTATTTTTCTTTGTATGGTTTTCTTAGTATGTTTGATTTGGTGATAAGTGGAGGCGTTGCAGAGACAAGGGTGGAACTAAACTGAGAAATACCGGCTGTTTCTCTGTAACTCCATTTTGACGCTTTGTGTTTCGTGCTTCGCATGTGCGACTCCACTGCCTTAATTCCCATCGTTCTGAGCTTGAATGACTTCTTGCATAAAATCCACTGAGCCTCATGTATGTTCCCTGGTTTTAGCCACGGAGAAAACTCTTGGCTGGAGACAATTTTTGTTACATTTACACTTGCTCATATTTTCCAGAAAAAAAGTTAATGTCCCGGCCGCAACGCTTTTATTGGTTCCGCTATCGGGACGGAATCAATAATGGCGAGCCGTTATTTTTTTTCTAATAAAAAAAAAACATAATAAATTGTCAATTTTAACGTTTTATTTAGATTACAAAAATAAATCGTAATAAAAATAATCCTATTTATGATGTTTTAAAGATTAAGACCTACGAAAGACTGATTTAAGACATTTTAACACCAATTAAGGCCTTAGTTTTATTTGGAAGAATTCAATGCCTTTTATGGCACCGTCCACACGAAGTCGAACCCTGGCCTAAACGCAGAAATTTTTTCACCAAACCAGCCTCTCATCCATACGAAGCCGGCGTTTCGGGGGTCTGTAAACGATCTTTTTTTTATTCAGCCTTCAAAGTGGGAAGATTTTGAAACGCCGTTTTCGCGTTTCCATCTTTAAGCTCTAACCGCATTTTTTTTCTTACACGCATGCGTCATAGCGTCGCCTGTAAACACGCATGCGCGACACAGTATCACAACAACAATGGCGCCGTACTGTGTTGAATGGTTGCTGCTCATGCTACTCACCCTGCTGTCGGGCTTACAACAGAATCTTCTTCTTCTGGAATATCTCCAGGAAGAACAGAGCAATATCGACGACCTATTTCAGCACCTGAATTTGACTGAACCACGAAAATGGACCCGAAGGGCAACCATGTATAAATATTAGTGCGCATGCCCAACATTTCGTTGCCTGTTTTTGCTTTGGCACCACAGCGCCACTTACAGGCCTGGTTTGGTCATAAGAATCTGTCCTGCATATTAATCAAAACACACAAAAAAACCAAAACATTTAAACAGGCTGCTGAACTGCAAACACAGATTACTTTGCACCTTCCTAAAGATTTGCTCTGCACATATGAACGTGTTTGCATGTTTTTAGAGAAGATCAGGTTGAAAGAGTAGTAAAACTACATTTATCCATCTTCACATAAAAAAAGGCGCTAAAATGAGCTATTAGGAGTTTGCTTCAGGGCAGATGGGTTATTAAGCTAAGTCTAACTTAATCTGATGACATTAATGTGACATGGGGTCCATGTAAGCTCTAGTGTTCCTGTTAATCTTTACCCAGGTTCCTGGGGGGTAGAGGTGGAGCAGAGGTGGAGCCCGGCTGAGGGGAGCCCGAGTTCAGGATGGTGCCATAAGTCTCGTTGTTAACCAGGCTGGGCATAAAGAGGCGGTGCTTGTCCTTGCCGAGGCCCACGCCGTCCCGGCCTGCCGTTCCCGGACCTGACTGTAGGTGGGAGTTACTGCTGGGGGTATAACAGCTGACGGGACGGTCGTCTCGTCGATGAGGGCTTGGCTGGAAGCAGTTCACAGGTGGTGTCAGAGGGGTAAGGGAGAACCTGTTCCTTCCGGTCTTTTTTAATTCTTACAGCGAAATAGAACAAAAGTCCAGTTCTAGGCCGCTCACCTTCTCATCCAGATCCTCGTCGCTCTCATCCAGGTCCTCGTGTTTCAGGCGCCACTCATACTCAACGTGGACATGGGCGTTGAACTTCCCTGCCAGAGCCTGGTTAAGCTGTAAACAGGCACAGATCAACCCCAGCTGACATCTGATCAGAGGTGGAGGACGGCGGCGATTCCAAAAGCAATAAACTCACCAGCTCCTCGCACTGGGCGTGTTTGAGCCTCCTTGCAATATCCAGCGGCGTCTCCCCGGCTTCGTTGGCTTATAGTGGAAAAGAAAACAGACAAGTGTTATTGGCCTTTAATTCCCACTGCAGGCGCAGACAAACCCTCTGCCCATCTTCTCTCCTGCTACCACTGCGACTTCAGCAGTGTGTAATTAAGCCGTTTCCCACACAGAGCTGCATCGCTCTGCCCTCCTCTCTGAATCTGTTATCTGGCTGTTTTGTTGCTTTCAGAGCACAAACAGTGTGAGAAAAAAGCCACCATGGTTTGTTTTCTAGAGCTGAACGTGTGGGAACCTGGGTCAGACACCGAGGAGGTGATTTTCTTCCGCTAAAATACAGAATTAGGACCAAGAACGGGGAAAGAAACTGAAGTGGAAACGCATAAATTCAGCTCTTTCTCACCGATATCGATGGAGGCCTTTCCTCGCAGCAGCAGCTTCAGACATTCGCTGTTGTCGGTCAGGCAGCAGTAGTGCAGCGCTGTGCTGCCTTTGGTCGTCTGCTTGTCCAAATTCAAACTAAACACAGACAGAAACCAGACAAATCAGACAGCTTTACTCACTGCTGGCCAAGTATATTCATACCCCTTAAACATTTTCCTTTTATTTTGTTTTTAAAATTTGCCACATTGAAGCAGAAATATCCAACTTCTCTTCATTAGCTTTTTCTCTTAAGAACCAAAATGCGTAAACTTACGGAAGAGGATTAGGGCCATTGGAAAAAAAAAAAAAGTTAACTGATTTTTAAATTTTATTTCAGTTTAGTATGGGAAAAAAGTCAGAATTCTGACTTTAATATCAGAATTCTGACTTTTTTCTCAGAATTCTGACTTTAATCTCAGAATTCTGAGAAAAAAAGTCAGAATTCTGAAATTAAAGACATTAAAGTCAGAATTCTGAGATTAAAATCAGAATTCTGAGAAAAAAGTCAGAATTCTGAGATTAAAATCAGAATTCTGAGATTAAAGTCAAAATTCTGACTGAATTCTGACAATAAAAAAGTCAGAATTCCGAGTTTTTTCCCCATGTTAAACTGAAATAAAATTTAAAAATCAGTTAACTTTTTTTTTTTCAGTGGCCCTAATCCTATTCCGTATAAACTGGAAAGAAATGATGCATTAATAAAAACCCTAAAGTAGGGTGTGCACATTATATTGAACCCCCCTTTATTCTGATAACCTAAAGAAAATCCAGTCATTTAATCTCAGTTTAAATGCAGCTTTGGGTCAAGGAGGGGAGTTCTGGTCCAGTTCGAAGTCAGGGTTCTACAAAAATATCTTAAAACTGAAACCACTCTCAGAGCTCAGCTCCACCTGCAGATATGGGAGTCCCCCTGGACGGATGAGGAGAGCCTTAATCAGAGAAGCAGCCAGGAGGGATCATAGCAACTCTGGAGAAGGTGCTAAGTAGGCAGGGCAACAAATCGGCCCCCGTGGACAAGCTGCTTAAGGAAAATACGATTCATTTTCTGCAAAAATGTTAAAGAACATATTCTACTAAAATAAGACAGACTTTTTACAGGAGAGTCCTGAAGAAAACCTGTTAGATCAGACTGAGGTCGAGGTTCATGTTGCAGCAGAACCACTGTCAACAAAAATGGGGGAATGTTGGCCTAGTGGGTTACAGCAGTGCGCTTCTGCTCTGAGAAGGTTGCAAGTACCAGGTTCAATCCCCACAGCGTGCACTCTGGCTCCCTGAGCAAGACCCTTAACCCCACACTGCTCCCTGGGCACCGCACAATGGCAGCCAAATGATCCGCAAGGGGAGGGGTTAAATGCAGAGGTACATTTCTCCAATGTGAGATCAATAAGGTTCAACTAAAATAAATGTACAGTTAGAGCTACAATAAGACGGTTTAGATCAGAAGCGTTAAAACGGCCTAGTCAAAGCCCAGGACTAAATATAATTGAGAATCTCTCTCAAGATATGAATGTTAATATCCACAGTTCTCCATAAAATATTACTGACCTTGGACTTTTTTTGCGAATAAAAACGAGCAAAGCATTAAAGGAATAGTACACCCAAAACATGATTAGCCTTCATTTTCTACTCACCCCCATGCTGAACAACACTCTGGAGTACTTTTTTGATATCTCAAATGCATCTGGAGATCTGGGAGGCTTCTTGCTGTCTGCTGACATTCAAATAATGGAGGTCTATGGCGCCCGAGGCAGAAAGGTCCATAAAAGTCCACAAAAAACGTGTCAATATTCCTCCAAACTGCTCGTCCAATGTATTCCAAGTGTCCTGAGTGGGAAGCGTCCAGAATTTAGTCGAAACAAAGTCATTTAGAATGTTTTTAGAGCATAAACAGTAGTGTATAGGATTTCCTAAAAGCGCGTTCACGAGTCTACGGAAACCGCGGCAGACCAAACCAGATGAAAGTGCGCATTCAGCGTCTGCTCTGCCGATAATGCAAGCGTAGAAGAAGAAATGTGCTGCTTACCTGTGCAAAGAAAGAAACAACGAAAGAAAAATGTCTGAGGACTTCAGTGTTGAGGAAGAGCATGAGTTCTTTGCCGAGCTGAATGCGCACTTTCGTCTGGTTAGGACTGCCGCGGTTTCCGTAGACTCGTGAACGCGCTTTCAGGAAATCCTATACACTACTGTTTATGCTCTAAAAAAATTCTAAATGACTTAATTTCGAGTAAATTCTGGATGCTACCCACTCAGGACACTTGGAATACATTGGACGAGCAGTTTGGAGGAATATTGACACGTTTTTTGTGGACTTTTATGGACCTTTCTGACTCGGGCGCCATAGACCTCCATTATTTGAATGTCAGCAGACAGCAAGAAGCCTCCCAGATCTCCAGATGCATTTGAGATATCAAAAAAGTACTCCAGAGTGTTGTTCAGCATGGGGGTGAGTAGAAAATGAAGGCTAATCATGTTTTGGGTGTACTATTCCTTTAAGTTTCTAGATGTAAAAAGCTGCGACACATGATCTGCTCTAAAAATAAATACACACCACACTTTTCAGATTTACATCGATTAAAACCAACATTAATGCACTGCTTTGCTATCTTTAGACAGCAAAAAAATATCTAGGTAAATTACACTAACCTTTATTTAACGTGAAAAACTTAAAAAAACGTTTTTCTATCAAACAATATAAATCAACAGCAGTAAGCTAACAGTTATGGGAAGGATAAAATCTCCCTGCAAAACTGTAGTATGTAGTAAAAAAGAAACAATGCCTTTTTTAAAGAGGCATAGTTTCAATTTTGTTGTTTTTTTTTTTATCTTAGGGGAACAATCACAGCTTCTAAATATAAACTGTTTGTGAAGGCCTCCTGTGTCGTCTCCGCTCCCTCTCTACCTGTTCTGGGTGAGAAAGTCGACGATGTGGAGAGAGGTTCTGTCAACCAGCCTGACAGCCAGATGAAGGGCCGTCTCTCCTTGTTCCTGCAGAGGAGAAACCATCGCTTTAAAAAAAAAGGAAGAGGAGCCATGAGAAGCAGAGGAGACGAAAAGAACTGCAGGTTTCTGACATGTCCATTGGCGAGCGGAATGGGCTCCATCAGGTCCACCCCCTCGGCGTAGACCTGGATGAGTGAGAAGATGTCTCGAGCCTTCACCGCCTCGCACAGCGTGTGGAGCCTCGACGCCGTGTCGGGACACTTCCTCCTGGCAAACCTTTTCTCGATGTATTTGGACGTGATGAAGTCTTTCCTGGTTTGCCTGGTGAGGAAACAAGACAGACAACTTTGAAAATGACATCCAGTGCTTTTGTATATATATCTATACACTCACCGGCCACTTTATTAGGTACACCTGTCCAACTGCTCGTTAACACTTAATTTCTAAGCAGCCAATCACATGGCGGCAACTCAGTGCATTTAGGCATGTAGACATGGTCAAGACAATCTCCTGCAGTTCAAACCCAGCATCAGTATGGGGAAGAAAGGTGATTTGAGTGACTTTGAACGTGGCATGATTGTTGGTGCCAGAAGGGCTGGTCTGAGTATTTCAGAAACTTCTGATCTACTGGGATTTTCACGCACAACCATCTCTAGGGTTTACAGAGAATGGTCCGAAAAAGAAAAAACATCCAGTGAGCGGCAGTTCTGTGGGCGGAAATGCCTTGTTGATGCCAGAGGTCAGAGGAGAATGGCCAGACTGGTTGGAGCTGATAGAAGGGCAACAGTGACTCAAATAACCACCCGTTACAACCAAGGCGGGCAGAAGAGCATCTCTGAACGCACAGTACGTCCAACTTTGAGGCAGATGGGCTACAGCAGCAGAAGACCACACCGGGTGCCACTCCTTTCAGCTAAGAACAGGAAACTGAGGCTACAATTTGCACAAGCTCATGGAAATTGGACAATAGAAGATTGGAAAAACGTTGCCTGGTCTGATGAGTCTCGATTTCTGCTTCGACATTCGGATGGTAGGGTCAGAATTTGGCGTCTACAACATGAAAGCATGGATCCATCCTGCCTTGTATCAACGGTTCAGGCTGGTGGTGGTGGTGTCATGGTGTGGGGAATATTTTCTTGGCACTCTTTGGGCTCCTTGGTACCAATAGAGCATCGTTGCAACGCCACAACCTACCTGAGTATTGTTGCTGACCATGTCCATCCCTTTATGACCACAATGTACCCAACTTCTGATGGCTACTTTCAGCAGGATAATGCGCCATGTCATAAAGCTGGAATCATCTCAGACTGGTTTCTTGAACATGACAATGAGTTCACTGTACTCAAATGGCCTCCACAGTCACCAGATCTCAATCCAATAGAGCATCTTTGGGATGTGGTGGAACGGGAGATTCGCATCATGGATGTGCAGCCGACAAATCTGCGGCAACTGTGTGATGCCATCATGTCAATATGGACCAAACTCCCTGAGGAATGCTTCCAGCACCTTGTTGAATCTATGCCACCAAGAATTGAGGCAGTTCTGAAGGCAAAAGGGGGTCCAACCCGTTACTAGCATGGGGTACCTAATAAAGTGGCCAGTGAGTGTGTGTGTGTGTGTGTGTATATATATATATAAAAAAACAAAAAAACTGTTTTCTCACCCCTTGTGGGGTGGTATGTGTCATCCTCAAGCTCGGGTCCTCTACCAGAGGCCTGGGAGTTTGAGGGTTCTGCACAGTATCTTAGCTGTTCCTAGGACTGCGCTCTTCTGGACAGAGACCTCTGATGTTTTACCTGGAATCTGCTGTAGCCACTCTCCCAGTTTGGGGGTCACCCATAGGATCTTAGCTCGGTCATTCTCAACTACCTTAGGAGGGGTCTTCCATTTTGACCTTGGGACTTCCAGCCCATACTCATGGCAGATGTTCCTGTACACTATGACAGCTACCTGGTTGTGGCGTTCCATGTATGCACTTCCTGCCTGCATTTTACACCCTGCTGTTATGTGCTGTATTGTTTCAGAGGCATCTTTGCACACTCTGCATCGGGGGTCCTGCCTGGTGTGGTAGACCCCGGCCTCTATTGATCTTGTACTAAGTGCGTGTTCTTGTGCTGCCATGATTAGTGCCTCTGTGCTGTCCTTCAGTCCAGCCTTTTCCAGCCACTGGTAGGATTTTTTGATATCAGCCACTTCTTCTATTTGTCTGTGGTACACGCCGTGCAGCGGCTTGTCCCTCCATGATGGTTCTCCTTCCTCTTTCTTGTCCTCACTTTCGGTTTTCTCCTGCCTGAGGTACTCACCAAGCCATTTGTCTTTGGGGGCCATCTTTCTGATGTACTCCTGGATCTTAGTTGTTTCATCCTGGACAGTGGTCTTGACACTCACTAGCCCTCGGCCTCCCTCGCTACGCTTGGTGTACACTGTACAGTCTCAGAGTGCTGGATTTGGGGTGGAACCCTCCATGCATTGTGAGGAGCTTTCTTGTCTTGATGTCAGTAGCCTCTATCTCCTCCTTTGGCCAGTTTATTATACCAGCGGGGTATCTGATGACTGGTAGGGCATATGTGTTGATGGCTTGGATCTTGTTTTTCCCATTCAGCTGTCTTTTCAGGACCTTTCCTTACTCTTTGTAGGTATTTAGCTGTGGCGGTCTTTCTTGCTATCTCCTCATGGTTTCTGTTAGCCTGTGGCACCCCAAGGTATTTGTAGCTGTCCTGAACATCTGTTATGTGGCCTTCTGGTAGTTCAACCCCCTCGGTTCTGATCATCTTCCCTCTCTTTGAGACCATGCGACCGCACTTGTCCAGTCCGAATGACATCCCAATGTCGTTGCTGTAGATCCTGGTAGTGTGGATCAGTGAGTCGACGTCTCGCTCACTCCTGGCATACAGCTTGATGTCATCCATGTAGAGGAGGTGACTGATGATTGTTCCGCTTCGGAATTGATATCCGTAGCCAGTCTTTGTAATGATCTGGCTGAGGGGGTTCAGGCCTATGCAGAACAGCAGCGGGGATAGTGCATCACCCTGGTATACAGGTGCTGGTCATAAAATTAGAATATCATGAAAAAGTAGATTGATTTCAGTAATTCCATTTAAAAAGTGAAACTTGTATATTATATTCATACATTACATACAAACTCATATATTTCAGATGTTTATTTTGTTTAATTTTGATGATTACAAATGACAACAAATGAAAATCTCAAATTCATCATATCAGAAAATTAGAATATTGTGAAAAGGTTCAAAATTGATGGCCCCTGGTGCCACACTCTAATCAGCTAATTAACTCAAACCACCTGCAAAAGCCTTTAAATGGTCTTTCAGTCTAGTTCTATAGGCTACACAATCATGGGGAAGACTGCTGACTTGACAGTTGTCCAAAAGACGACCATCGACACCTTGCACAAGGAGGGCAAGACACAAAAGGTCATCGTTAAAGAGGCTGGCAGTTCACAGAGCTCAGTGTCCAAGCACATTAATAGAGAGGCGAAGGGAAGGAAAAGATGTGGTCGAAAAAAGTGTACAAGCAAGAGAGATAACCGCACCCTGGAGAGGATTGTGAAACAAAACCCATTCAAAAATGTGGGGGAGATTCACAAAGAGTGGACTGCAGCTGGAGTGAGTGCTTCAAGAACCACCACACACAGACGTATGAAAGACATGGGTTTCTGCTGTCGCATTCCTTGTGTCAAGCCACTCTTGAACCACAGACAGCGTCAGAAGCGTCTAAAGAGAAACAGGACTGGACTGCTGGTGAGTGGTCCAAAGTCATGTTCTCTGATGAAAGTAAATTTTGCATTTCCTTTGGAAATCAAGGTCCCAGAGTCTGGAGGAAAAGAAGAGAGGCACTTCATCCACGTTGCTTGAAGTCCAGTGTAAAGTTTCCACAGTCAGTGATGGTTTGGGGTGCCATGTCATCTGCTGGTGTTGGTCCATTGTGTTTTCTGAGGTCCAGGGTCAACGCAGCCACATACCAGGAAGTTTTAGAGCACTTCATGCTTCCTGCAGCTGACCAACTTTTTGGAGATACAGATTTCATTTTCCAACAGGACTTGGCACCTGCACACAGTGCCAAAGCTACCAGTACCTGGTTGAAGGACCATGGTATCCCTGTTCTTAATTGGCCAGCAAACTCTCCTGACCTTAACCCCATAGAGAATCTATGGGGTATTGTGAAGAAGAAGATGCAATACACCAGACCCAACAATTCAGAAGTGCTAAAAGCCACTATTAGAGCAACCTGGGCTATCATAACACCTGAGCAGTGCCACAGACTGATCGACTCCATGCCACGCCGCATTGCTGCAGTAATACAGGCCAAAGGAGGCCCAACTAAATACTGAGTGCTGTACATGCTCATACTTTTCATGTTCATACTTTTCAGTTGGCCAACATTTCTATAAATCCTTTGTTTTTATTGGTCTTCAGTAATATTCTAATTTTCTGATATGATGAATTTGAGATTTTCATTTGTTGTCATTTGTAATCATCAAAATTAAACAAAATAAACATCTGAAATATATGAGTTTGTATGTAATGTATGAATATAATATACAAGTTTCACTTTTTAAATGGAATTACTGAAATCAATCTACTTTTTCATGATATTCTAATTTTATGACCAGCACCTGTATGCCGCACTTGATGGTGACTTGTGCTATTGGCTTTGCATTGGCTTCCAGACTTGTTTTCCACAGCTTCATTGGGTTCTTGATGAAGGCTATTAGAGTCCTGTTGATCTTGTACATTTCCAGGCATTCCAGTATCCATGTATGTGGCATTGAGTCATAGGCTTTCTTATAGTCAATCCAGGCAGTGCACAGATTTGTCTGCCTGGTCTTACAGTCTCGGGTGACTGCTCTATCCACTAGTAGCTGGTGTTTGGCTTCTCTGGTGTTGCTGCCTATTCCCTTCTGGGAAGGGTGCATGTATTGAGCCATGTGCCTATTCATCTTAGCCGCTATGATGCCTGACAGGAGCTTCCATGTTGTACATAGGCAAGTTATTGGCCGGTAGTTGGATGGGGTTGTTCCCTTCTGCGGATCCTTCATGATCAGGATTGTCCGTCCTTGGGTTAACCATTCTGGGTGGGTCCCATCCATCAGCAGTTGGTTCATTTGTGCTGCGAGGCGTGCATGAAGTGCGGTTAGTTTTTTCAGCCAGTAGGTGTGGATCATGTCAGGGCCTGGTGCTGTCCAGCTCTTCATACCTGCCGCTCTTTCTTGGACATCTGCCGTTGTAACGGTTACTGGTTCTTGTTCTGGGAGATTGCTGTGATCTGTTCTTAGATCTTCCAGCCACTGAGCATTGGTGTTGTGGGATGCCTCCTTCTCCCATATGTTTCTCCAGTACTGTTCAGTCTCAGCCCTGGGTGGATCTGATCTTGAATTACCCTGCCACTGTGAGTACACTTTAGATGGGTTGGTGGAGAACACCTGGTTTATTCTCCTGGCTTCTGCTTCTCCCTTGTATCTCTTGACTGATGCCAATAGTGCACAATGCAATACATCGTGCACGGAAACAATTTAAGAGCAGAAAGTTGCTCGGTGTCTGACTGCAAGAAGAGCGGACCGCAGCCAGCGCTCTCAGTAGCCGGTGGGCAGAGCAAAGCCAGAGCGGAGTGAATCATGCTGCTTTCAAACTGGACGCAGCGGGAGCAGCAAAATCGTGTCTGCTGCTTCATTTTTGCTGCTTGTACCAGCTTCTGACCCGCAGAAAAGTGGCTCTGACGTGCGTTGGGCGGAGCTACTCTATCCTTTATTTGCCTTGCAGCTATATTTGCTGTGATCAGTGGGAATAAAGTAGTTTTATTATGTTTTTAAGTGGAAAAATCCACCTGAAAACTTAATCAGTGCAGTCAGTTCATCCTGCCTTCCAATATTTCTGTCGGAGCCGCTCAGACCCCCACATACCAGCGGTGCGCTGTCAGTAGGATCCCATTCAACGGGCTTGTTTGTCAGACATGGTAATTTTTCTAAAGGAAAACTGCTAAGTAAAAAGGTCCTCACAATGTAACAGTGAATATTAGACACTGATTATTATTTTTTTTTTTATGTAAGAGGAAAAATGTAAATGGAAAAATCAGAGCTTAAAGTAAAACTCAAGATTTGTACTTTTTTATGTTGTGTAATTTTCTTTTTCTTCGAATTGATATTATAAAACTGGTATCGAAAAAAGTATCGTTCAGGAACCGGTATCGAAGTGAAGGTATCGGTATTGGTACCAGAACCGAAAACTTTTGAACAATACCCAGCCCTACCACCCTGTTTCACTGTGGAGATGTTTCTCGATGCTCATTTGGTCCAGATCTCATGTTAGCTCTGCCTGCATGACTTTTACAAAACATCAAAGGGAACTTCCTGCCTGCTTCATAGTTTGTTTTTATAGACACAGAGGCAGTGTTGTAGGTTCTATTTTACCTTAAAGGCAGAAAATAAACCACTTGATGTTATATATGTAATAAGCAAACCAGAAGCAGAAGTCATAAAAATCTAATTCAAAAGAAAAGTCAATGATAGCATCAACATAAAGCAGAAAAAGGTGGGCAGGGAAACCAGAACAGTAGTGACTATTTCGCGTCCAAAGAGCCAGAACTTACATGTCACTCGCTGGGTTTGGTTTCACAACGTTCTCAGCATTTAAACAAGCTTCCATGATTTCATTAAAACCTGCATTCCCCACGTTCTTGGCCAGCTACGGAGGAAACAAACACAGAGAGAGTAAATTTAAAAGCTGCATGAACCAAGTGCATCCGTGCAGCTCTCACACCCCTGTCCTGAGCTGTGAGAGAGGAGCAAGCCGTGTCTGACTGTGGCGTCTAAAGCAATCATGACTGGAAGCGTTTAATCCCAGATGTCCCGCAGGCTGTAAATCTCTGCACCAAACCCGGATTTAAAAAAGGTCCAAAACAATAACAAACAAATTCAGAATTTTGCGAGAGGAAACGTGAGCCGGAGGACGCTGCAGCGTCTTACCGACCTCATCGCTTCCAGGAGAAGGAAAATTGAAAATTAAAAAGGAAAATATTTGTACCAAGAGCTCTGAGGTGCTGAGTACATCCAGGGTGAGGGACTGGATCCGCGAGTAGTGGACCCCGAGCTCCCTGTGGATGCCTGAACATTCAATGCAGGTGAGGATGCCCAGGTTGGTGGACAGCCATGTTGGACCTGAGGAACAAAAGCAACAAACAACGATATAAAATAGACATGTTTTTTTTTTTTATTACCTGAAGACAAACACCACAAAAACAGCCACTACTCTGAAATTATAATCATCTCCAATTTTTCTCCAAAGCCTTTAGTTCTGCTTGTTTAAGCTTTGATTGGACATCTTAAACAGAATATTAGAAAACAGCTGAGTGGTTAGCTAATTATTTTACATGTGGGGTTTCCATAAGGTTTAATTCTCTAACCATTTTTTTTTATCATCTCAACAAATAGTGTAAACAACCTCAGACAATTATACTTTCATCTCTATGCAGATAACACTATAAATCTTTGGTTTTAGCAGAGTAACACTAACCTGGTTAGTGTTTTTCACTACTGCAGAATTTGCTGCAGTCTGTGGAACTCTCTATAAGGGCCAACAAATCAAGTTTGGTTCCAATCATAAATAAATCTGATTTAAACTCCATCCATCCATCCCTTTCGCTGTCAGGCTTCGGTCATGAGGGGTGCTGGTGCCTATCATGTCAGTCATGTTTTTGGATTGTGGGAGGAAGCCAGTAACCTGACTCCGCCAGATGGATTTGCTCCGCATATCCATCTGGAAACCTTCCGTTGAAGTAATTTTGGGATGGGGCGAAAATACTGGTTAGCTGATTGGCCTATGTTGGTGATAGACGGGCCAAATAAACCAATCAGATCAACGAAGCATATGACGTACTAACAGCCAGGCTACTCTTGCTGAAACCAGTCGGGAGAAGAGCAAAAACATCTTTTCCTCTGAGAAAAGCCTCCAGAGCAGTGTTTTGCTCTTCTTTCAGTGAAGAAATACTCTGTAATTCTGTTAAAACTTGCTCGATAGCCACGCTAACGCTAGTTTCATCGGTTGAAGCCGCCATGTTCTTTAGACTGAACTTTCGCGCTTCTCGTTGCGTCACACCTCAACCCGCCTCAAAGCCAACGCTGATTGGACGTCCGTTTGGTGAACGGCTCCAAATTTTCTTCAACGGAGAGTCTCCAGACTGATCTGCGAGTGAAACCTTGAAAGCTCGCGAGATCAGGATGGTCTCACGAGGCTAGGAAGCCAGAGTACCTGGAGAGAACCCATGAATGCTCAGGGAGAACATGCAAACTCCATATAGAAAGACCCCGGGCTGGGAATCAAACCCGGAACCTTCTTGCTGCAAGGCACTGAGTTTATTTACACCGGCTATGCTTTTTGAGGATCATATCCAGTCATAATCTTATAAAAAATAGATAAATCTGTTTAAAGGATTTGGTAGCCCAAACATTTCTTGTAACATGTATTGAGCTTAAACATAAAAGTATCGTCTGTTTAACCTGTGAAAATTGTTTTTTTCCCCCTTTTTTTTTCACTTAATTTTTATTACAATTTTTGCAACTTACACAGACATAAACATACAAGCCTACATTCAGGCTGCTGCTCTATATGGTAAAGTTAAAAAAGAACAAAACTTTGAAAGTATGTACAACAAGTTAGGCTTAAAAGTAAAGTAGGTCACATGGTTAAACATAAGAAACAAACATAAATGTAGTTAGTAATTAAATAAGCAGCACGAATGGAATCAAAATTAAATAGAAAATAATAAGTTAATATAAAAAATTACAATAGAAATGAAATAGAATACAATGAAAGAAAAAAAAAAAGTTTTACTGCATTAATATGGTCATGGCCGGTTTCCACCTATTAACAAATATGTCTTTTTGATTTTTTGTGTAAGTGTGTTTACTGGTCTTCCCAACAAATGCAAAATTAAAGAAAAAAAAAATGAAAAAGGAAAATTCTCTCCTTCAGCGAAGCTGTGTGCTTTCCATAAAAAAATAAGTCTGTTTGAATTTGAGCATTCAGATAAACTAATGAATAACAATCAGGGTTCGTACACTTCGGGTTTTTTTTTGTTTTTGTTTTTTGGAACGTTGGCGAGGCGACAGCGTGAGTTTGGATAGTGCTGCGGGAAACACTGCAATACTAACATTACATTATCACACCATACTCTCAGTCACTATGACTGAACCTTCATGTGACTCGACAGCACAGACTCGCCCGTTGTGAAAAGCTGCACATCTTTTTTGCAGACTTTACAAGAGGCAATTCGTGGGGTTTGTCCCCGTTTAATCCATAATTTGTGTTTTTCATTTTCCAGCCAACATTCATTGAAACGCCAACCTCCCGGCATGGTGCAGTAGTGGTTTCATGTGGGCGGAGTCACACATGGAAATAGACTGGCAGATCGCAGTCGCACATAAGCGAGCAGGTTTCATTTTTGGGCTCTCCAACATTTTATTTCTCCATTTAATAAACACACGATTCAGTTAGATAGGTATTTGTTGCAAAAGAAATAGTTACAATTTCAAGCATTTTCAAGCATTTCATCCAAAATATAAGCACTTTTCAAACCTTGAAAACACAACGTCAAAATTCAAGCATTTTCAAGGATTTCCAGCACCCGTACGAACCCTGAACAATAAATAAACAATGATGTCTCATAACATATTCAGAGCAACTGGAAATGAGGAAACTTTTCCCACTGGACAAGAATTCTACATTTTTGACAAGGAAACAACCATGTTGATCTTATTGGGTTTTAGTGTGCGAAGGTGGTTAACAGCATTACCAGTGGTGCAGCAGGTGTGCTCTGAGGGGGTGCTTGTCTTTGCCCACAAAGTCCCTTGCACAAATATATCGTCAGTCACCATTAGATGGACTGATAAATATTGGTTGGAAAATCTTTTACACATCACCCAACCTCATTACTTTAACGATTTACCAGATCTTATAGCTGATAAAACTGTCTCCCTGGAGGCGTCAGGCTCAAAGCTGTGGATCTGGCAATGGAGTTCACCCTCCCTTCAACATCCAGGAGCGCCAAATGAAATATGAGATTTAAATTTTATTATTATTGTGAGGTTCTGATTTACTCTTCATTAGATTCGTCCGTTTTTATGGCTTATTTATAAATACTGAATTAATGCTTATTACTGTTAAAAATAAATCTGAAATGTGCCATCATATGTCAGTCGGGCTGTTTTGTGGTGACTTGTCATCCAAACCGGATTGAAATGTTCGGACCTGAGTGTCTCAAAAAAATCTCCTCACAGTTTCATAATGAAAATGTGGTTTTAGATTCACGAGCTGCTGAACCGCCATGACGGCAGCGTTTCCACTCACTGGGGGCTCCGCAGTCGCAGCACACGTCGTTTCCCGTCATCCTTTTCACCTCCCCCAGGATGGCCTTTGTCAGCTCCTGTACGATGTTGTTCTCGCCAACATGGTGGTCCCCCTTAAACGCCTGATTCAGAGCCTCCTCTTTACTGTTCTGCAGAACTGAGATCCAGCTGGGAGCGGAGGGGAGGGAGGACATAAAAAAAGGAGACATGAGATGAATGGAAGGAAGAACCAACAGAGGGGAGGGAGGAAAAGGAAGGGTGAGGTGGTAAAGATCTACATGAGGAAGAAAGTGTTTGGAGGGAAAAACTGGAAGAATTGAGGAAGCAGAAGCGTACATCTGACAGTCCTGGTCGTCCTCGGCTTGAAAATGATATGTTCGGTCATCTAGAAGGAAAACAGAAAGAGGTTCATAAAACAGTCTTAGTTTAGATGATGTCATTTAACATACCTTTACATACATGTTAATACATAAAAGTCTTCACACCCCTTCCATTACATTCATTTACCATTACAACTAGGGTTGAACATTTTATGATTTAATCGAGTCCTAGTTAAACAAAAAAGGATACATATTTGTGAGGGAGAGGCAAAGTCAACCCCTTTATTCTGACAGTCTAAATAAAATTCGTCTCCAAATTTAGTAAACAGATTGATGCTGTAATTTGATCTCATGTAAATGCACGTTCTGCTTTGATATTTCCGGGCCAAAATATTGAAGATTATTCTAAACGTTACCATTAATGCACCAACCTCAGGGTAACGCAGGATGGAGGCAGCATCATGCTGTGGGACACTTACAGAGCTAAATCCAGTACAATCCTGGAGGAAAACTCATTAAAGGCTGCAGGAAAACAGAGTATTTTTTCCCCAGTGTTTTATTGTCATTACATTGTCACAAGTACAGCACAAAGAAATGAACTCTCTGAATTTATTCCATCCCCTTGGGGAGCAGAGGGCCGCCATTGTGCTGCGCCCGGGTATGGTGGAGGTTCATTCTCCAACAGGTAAACATCCCCACAGAGATACTATGAGATGGTTTAGGTCTTTTATGCTGAAAAAGTTGAACTAAAGTACGAACCGTTTTCTTAGAATAATTATCTGCCTTTCATTTAACAGGCAAATAAAATCATTTGCCAATGAAATTTGCATTTTAGCTCCTTTAACACTTATGATAATAATAATAACAGGTGTATAATTATTTCTGTTAATTATATAAAATGTTAGCCTCGTGAGCCCATCCTGATCTCGCGAGCTTTCAAGGTTTCACTCGCAGATCAGTCTGGAGACTCTCCGTTAAAGAAAATTTGGAGCCGTTCACCAAACGAACGTCCAATCAGCGTTGGCTTTGAGGCGGGTTGAGGTGTGACGCAATGAGAAGCGCGACAGTTCACTCTAAAGAACATGGCGGCTTCAGCCGATGAAACTGGCGTTAGCGTGGCTATCGAGCAAGTTTTATGGGAATTACAGAGTATTTCTTCATTGAAAGAAGAGCAAAACACTGCTCTGGAGGCTTTTCTCAGAGGAAAAGATGTTTTTGCTCTTCTCCCGACTGGTTTCAGCAAGAGTAGCCTGGCTGTTAGTACGTCATATGCTTCGTTGATCTGATTGGTTTATTTGGCCCGTCTATCACCAACATAGGCCAATCAGCTAACCAGGATTTTCGCCCCTTCCCAAAATTACTTCTACGGAAGGTTTCCAGATGGATATGCGGAGCAAATCCATCTGGCGGAGTCAGGTTAAGAAAATGGATCTAAAATATATAAAGTATTAGAACATTTATTACGACTAAAGTCCTAACATTAGGTCTAAAAGATAAAAGTCGTTACATTACTAGAAAAAACTCATGATTTAATAAAAAGTCATTATATTAACTCTACCAGAATATTATAGTAAAATAGCAAGAATAAAGTCGCAGCATCAGTAAATGAAAGCTGCAACCCTAATGGCTTAAATAGAAACGGGCTATTTTTACAGATTTTTTACAACAGATAAACTTAATAAAATTATCTAGGGGGTTTATAGGTGTAATGTGATCAAATATTTTGCTGGGCAGAGGAAACCTGCAAAAATATAGTGTTTTTTTAAACTCCGGGAATGAATTAGTTTAAACTATTATGCTCTAATCTGCTTTAGTCTGCCATCATGTGGTTGCGGCCTGCTAAGCCGGAACCTTTGACGCTGTTGTCACTAAAGAGACCAAAGTCTGTGGGAAAAATGCTGATAACAGCTACGGACACACACACACGCACAGAGATCCACTGCTCACGAGGCCCAACAGAAGATATTACACCTACGTGAAATGAGGTCGAAGCTTCTCTTCTCCTCCGGATTGTGTTTCACCTGGCAGGTCAGCAGGTTGAGTTTAGCTGGCGGTCTGTTCGCCTAGTAGAGACAACAGTCACAAGGAAAAACAAGCTGAGTGAGCGGAGCAGGAATGTTGTGTTTGATGCTATTTGACTGCTGCTGCGGCCCGAGCCAAAGGAAACATCTGATAAGCTGCTTGGAGTCAGAAGCCTGTGTTGAATCTTAACTAGGAGGGGGTTTGGTGAGAAAGGACTCCACCATTGACTCTCTGCTGTTCACTGCCGTACATTTATTATTATTTATATTATTTAGTCTGTTTAGAGATGCTGGGATCTACCCGCTGTCAAACTTACGGTGCCGTGTGAGATGGTAAGGTATCCGTTTTTAGCCGTGCATTTTCTCTTCTGCCAGACTTTTCTCAACCTGCACACAGAAGACAAAAAGCTCACAATCAGCATCTAAATGACCTGAAAGTGGGTTATAATGGTTCTTTTTAAAGGAATAGTACACCCAAAACATGATTAGCCTTCATTTTCTACTCACCCCCATGCTGAACAACACTCTGGAGTACTTTTTTGATATCTCAAATGCATCTGGAGATCTGGGAGGCTTCTTGCCGTCTGCTGACATTCAAATAATGGAGGTCTATGGCGCCCGAGGCAGAAAGGTCCATAAAAGTCCACAAAAAACGTGTCAATATTCCTCCATACTGCTCGTCCAATGTATTCCAAGTGTCCTGAGTGGGTAGCGTCTATAATTTACTCGAAACAAAGTCATTTAGAATGTTTTTAGAGCATAAACAGTAGTGTATAGGATTTCCTAAAAGCGCGTTCACGAGTCTACGGAAACCGCGGCAGACCAAGCCAGATGAAAGTGCGCATTCAGCTCGGCAAAGAACTCATGCTCTTCCTCAACACTGAAGTCCTCAGACATTTTTCTTTCGTTGTTTCTTTCTTTGCACAGGTAAACAGCACATTTCTTCTTCTACGCTTGCATTATCGGCAGAGCAGACGCTGAATGCGCACTTTCATCTGGCTTGGTCTGCCGCGGTTTCCGTAGACTCGTGAACGCGCTTTCAGGAAATCCTATACACTACTGTTTATGCTCTGAAAAAAATTCTAAATGACTTCGTTTCGAGTAAATTATGGACGCTACCCACTCAGGACACTTGGAATACATTGGACGAGCACTATGGAGGAATATTGACACGTTTTTTGTGGACTTTTATGGACCTTTCTGCCTCGGGCGCCATAGACCTCCATTATTTGAATGTCAGCAGACGGCAAGAATCCTCCCAGATCTCCAGATGCGTTTGAGATATCAAAAAAGTACTCCAGAGTGTTGTTCAGCATGGGGGTGAGTAGAAAATGAAGGCTAATCATGTTTTGGGTGTACTATTCCTTTAACTACACTTCAGCACCAACTACACCAAGAATGTTTTCTTAAAAACGCTTCATATTTGTTCCGACCAGCTGAAACTGCTGTCATCATCAATTCCAACCAAAAAACACTACAGTCATGGCCAAAAGTATTGAGAATGACACAAATATTATATTTTCACATGATCTGCTGCCCTCTGGTTTTCATGTGTGTATGTCAGATGTTGTCATCACATACAGAAATACAGTTGCAATCATATTATGAGGAACAAAAGCTTTTAATGACAGAATGAGTTCATGCAGCAAGTTAATATTTGCAGTGTTGATCCCTCTTCCTCTTCAGGAGGAGGAGGAGTAATGTGACCAATGGAGCAAAAAGCAGCGATTATCTTTCTGAACAGTAAGTTTACTGAGTTCACTGTAAAGTCCACAATATAGCTCCCGCTCTATATTGAGGGATTTTAGGGGTTAGGGCAGATATTCGGGCAGAGTAAGCTTGTATGAGAACAGCAACTATTAAAGGAAAAGTCCGCTCATATTCAGAATACAAACTTCTGAAGTACTTTAAATATGAAATTACTACATCCTGTTCAATAAATGAAGTGTTTTTAATTAAGAGTAATTTTTATTTGAATGTGCTTTACTGGTAGCCTCGTGAGACCATCCTGATCTCGCGAGCTTTCAAGATTTCACTCGCAGATCAGTCTGGAGACTCTCCGTTGAAGAAAATTTGGAGCCGTTCACCAAACGAACGTCCAATCAGCGTTGGCTTTGAGGCGGGTTGAGGTGTGACGCAACGAGAAGCGCGACAGTTCAGTCTAAAGAACATGGCGGCTTCGGCCGATGAAACTAGCGTTAGCGTTACTATCAAGCAAGTTTTATCGGAATTACAGAGTATTTCTTCACTGAAAGAAGAGCAAAACACTGCTCTGGAGGCTTTTCTCAGAGGAAAAGTTGTTTTTGCTCTTCTCCCGACTGGTTTCGGCAAGAGTTTGATCTATCAATTGGCTCCTCTTCGTCGTCGCTCTGTTAGTACGTCATATGCTTCGTTGATCTTATTGGTTTATTTGGCCCGTCTATCACCAACATAGGCCAATCAGCTAACCAGTATTTTCGCCCCTTCCCAAAATTACTTCAACGGAAGGTTTCAAGATGGATATACGGAGCAAATCCATCTGGTAGAGTCAGGTTACTTTACTGGAGGCATCCATGTTTGTCAAAGAACACTACTGCCACCTACTGGTTTGTGACGTCACGGTGCGGTATCGGCTGTTGATCAAGTCCCAGTGCTGTATCTGGTGTTTGTCACAACGCGCTATTATCCAAGTCATCTTGAAAACATTCTTCTTCCAAATGTTGGCTACATATTACGGGTTTTTTCTCTGGCCAGAAGTTCGATGGCAAATCCTCCCTCTTCAATTTGGCGATCCAACGACCAACCCGTCCGTGGAGGATCAGGAATCAGAAAGGTGGAATAACTCTTTTTTTCACTTTTACCCGATGTATTCCAGCATCCAGCTGCCATGCACGTGGGCATTGTCAGTTTCACTATAGCTCTGGTGAATTTCAATGGTGAAGTCCTCTGGAAATCTTCAATAATTGTTGTTGATTGCAGATGTGTCTAGTAGTTCCCATTGATTTAGCTTGGAAAGCGGGGAGAATGGCGCTAGGCTTACCGCACCGTGACGTCACTGCTGGAAGATGGCAGGAGGGAGGTGTTACTATATTTGGGCAAAAATGGCCGCTCCCAGACTCGGTGATCGCGCCGAAAATTATTGTTTTTATTTTTTTACTGATTAACGCTAAATTTCTCGAATCACGGCGAACGTATTAGTTTTATGTATAATTAAAAATGAATTGATTATTCCTTGCTGAGGGAAACTGAACCGTGTTCAACTATTCCTCTGGATCTGACCCCTGAGGCCCAGTGGAGACGCTCACCCGTCACTTTTCTTGAACAGGAAGCCACTTCGCTCAGTGCCATGCTCCTTGTTGCCCTGCGGCTGGTGCAGGCTGTACGTCGTGCTCTGCCGCACCTGGGAATCCTGGGAAAATTCAGCCGACAAGACAAGTTAGAGGTAAAGGGAAGAGAAATCTAAAAAATGCACAAAGAATATGCAAATTCTCATTGATTTAAAATGTTCAGGTTATGGTGACCAGTTCACAGCACAACATAGAGCAATCCAAAAAGTTTAAATCTGGAAGCTTCTGACTACAGTGCTAACAACACTCCCCTCCCCCTGCAGCACCCCCACCGACTCCCAGAGAATCTAACATAGATCCATCTGCTATTTCATAGGTCTGATCACTAACTTCAGAAACCCCCATTAAATATCTTAAATGGACTCTAAACCATTTATTTTTAATACCCACACCCCCACCCCCCACCACCACAACTGCATCAGATAATGAAGCATAAAGACTTTGAAGGTTAACAATAGAAAGGGTCAAACCAAAGGTCGGGGGTGTCTTTGGTTTCTGAGTATGGCAACCCTAAAATATTTAATGAAAGCCATTCCTTCCTGTGAAAAGGAAATGTTCTTCATGCCACAGGCTGCAGCACATTACTGACATATGGCAGATTCCCTCTAATGTGCCGCAGATGCACACAGGATGTTTCTGCCAATATATCCAACGTTTCGATATGTTTTAAAACACAAAGAGCTGCATGATGGTATCTGTCCAGATTCATCAAGACGGAAAGTTATCAGAGCTAAAATCTTGTCATGCCTTTGGTTTAAAGCCCACACACACACACAGAGAGATAAACACACACGTATATATATTATAAATATCTATAGAGTATTAATAAATAAGGGAGGTCAATATACGATTCTATGATAGAAACAAATCAGCTTATTCCTTTTTAATTTTAAATAAACATCAACAACTACAATAAATGGTGGAAGGAACATTTTTAGGCTTTAGGAAGAATTATCTAATTTCCTTTATGAAAATGAAAAGACAACAAATGAAAATGTTTCCAATGAGGGACTGACATTCAACGGAAGAGCAAAAAAAAAGAAAAAAAAGAAAAAGAAATGGGACATTTCAATGAGTTCAGAGTCGAATGAAAAATAAACATAAAAAAAAGCTAATCTTAATGAAATGTCTAAAAAATATCACTAAACAAATAGAACTAGAAATTGCAGATCCACCAGTAGACAATGGCTGTGTCCGAATGTCTGCCCTAACCACTATATATGGATCTATATAGGCACTATACACTAACACTAACCACTATACAGGGATCTATATAGGCACTATACACTAACCACTATACAGGGCGCTGTATAGGCACTAAACACTAACCACTATATAGGGCTCTGTATAGGCACTATACACTAACCACTATATAGGGCTCTGTATAGGCACTATACACTAACCACTATATAGGGCTCTGTATAGGCACTATACACTAACCACTATATAGGGCTCTGTATAGGCACTATACACTAACCACTATATAGGCACTATACACTAACCACTATATAGGCACTATACACTAACCACTATATAGGCACTAAACACTAACCACTATATAGGGCTCTGTATAGGCACTATACACTAACCACTATATAGGGCTCTGTATAGGCACTATACACTAACCACTATATAGGGCTCTGTATAGGCACTATACACTAACCACTATATAGGGCTCTGTATAGGCACTATACACTAACCACTATATAGGGCTCTGTATAGGCACTATACACTAACCACTATATAGGCACTATACACTAACCACTATATAGGCACTATACACTAACCACTATATAGGCACTATACACTAACCACTATATAGGCACTATACACTAACCACTATATAGGCACTATACACTAACCACTATATAGGCACTATACACTAACCACTATATAGGGCTCTGTATAGGCACTATACACTAACCACTATATAGGGCTCTGTATAGGCACTATACACTAACCACTATATAGGGCTCTGTATAGGCACTATACACTAACCACTATATAGGGCTCTGTATAGGCACTATACACTAACCACTATATAGGGCTCTGTATAGGCACTATACACTAACCACTATATAGGGCTCTGTATAGGCACTATACACTAACCACTATATAGGGCTCTGTATAGGCACTATACACTAACCACTATATAGGGCTCTGTATAGGCACTATACACTAACCACTATATAGGGCTCTGTATAGGCACTATACACTAACCACTATATAGGGCTCTGTATAGGCACTATACACTAACCACTATATAGGGCTCTGTATAGGCACTATACACTAACCACTATATAGGGCTCTATATAGGCACTATACACTAACCACTATATAGGGCTCTGTATAGGCACTATACACTAACCACTATATAGGGCTCTATATAGGCACTATACACTAACCACTATTTAGGGCTCTATATAGGCACTATACACTAACCACTATATAGGGCTCTATTTAGGCACTATACACTAACCACTATTTAGGGCTCTATATAGGCACTATACACTAACCACTATATAGGGCTCTATTTAGGCACTATACACTAACCACTATATAGGGCTCTGTATAGGCACTATACACTAACCACTATATAGGGCTCTATATAGGCACTATACACTAACCACTATATAGGGCTCTATATAGGCACTATACACTAACCGCTATATAGGGCTCTGTATAGGCACTATACACCAACCACTATATAGGGCTCTGTATAGGCACTATACACCAACCACTATATAGGGCTCTATATACGCACTATACACTAACCACTATATAGGGATCTATATAGGCACTATACACCAACCACTATATAGGGATCTATATACGCACTATACACTAACCACTATATAGGGCTCTATATACGCACTATACACTAACCACTATATAGGGCTCTATATACGCACTATACACTAACCGCTATATAGGGCTCTGTATAGGCACTATACACTAACCACTATATAGGGCTCTGTATAGGCACTATACACTAACCGCTATATAGGGATCTATATAGGCACTATACACTAACCGCTATATAGGGCTCTGTATAGGCACTATACACCAACCACTATATAGGGCTCTGTATAGGCACTATACACTAACCGCTATATAGGGCTCTATATAGGCACTATAGACCAACCACTATATAGGGCTCTGTATAGGCACTATACACTAACCACTATATAGGGCTCTGTATAGGCACTATACACCAACCACTATATAGGGCTCTGCATAGGCACTATACACTAACCGCTATATAGGGCTCTATATAGGCACTATACTCTAACCAATATATAGGGATCTATATAGGCACTATACACTAACCGCTATATAGGGCTCTATATAGGCACTATACACTAACCACTATATAGGGATCTATATAGGCACTATACACCAACCACTATATAGGGATCTATATAGGCACTATACACTAACCACTATAAAGGGCTCTGTATAGGCACTATACACTAACCACTATATAGGGCTCTGTATAGGCACTATACACCAACCACTATATAGGGCTCTATATACGCACTATACACTAACCGCTATATAGGGCTCTATATAGGCACTATACACTAACCACTATATAGGGCTCTGTATAGGCACTATACACTAACCACTATATAGGGCTCTGTATAGGCACTATACACCAACCGCTATATAGGGCTCTATATAGGCACTATACACTAACTGCTATATAGGGCTCTATATAGGCACTATACACTAACCACTATATAGGGATCTATATAGGCACTATACACTAACCACTATATAGGGATCTATATACGCACTATACACTAACTGCTATATAGGGCTCTGTATAGGCACTATACACTAACCACTATATAGGGCTCTGTATAGGCACTATACACCAACCGCTATATAGGGATCTATATACGCACTATACACTAACCGCTATATAGGGCTCTATATAGGCACTATACACTAACCACTATATAGGGATCTGTATAGGCACTATACACTAACCACTATATAGGGCTCTGTATAGGCACTATACACTAACCACTATATAGGGCTCTATATAGGCACTATACACTAACCACTATATAGGGCTCTGTATAGGCACTATAGACCAACCACTATATAGGGCTCTGTATAGGCACTATACACTAACCACTATATAGGGATCTATATATGCACTATACACTAACCACTATATAGGGATCTATATAGGCACTATACACTAACCACTATATAGGGCTCTATATAGGCACTGTACACTAACCACTATATAGGGCTCTATATAGGCACTGTACACTAACCACTATATAGGGCTCTATATAGGCACTATACACTAACCACTATATAGGGCTCTATATAGGCACTGTACACTAACCACTATATAGGGCTCTATATAGGCACTATACACTAACCACTATATAGGGCTCTATATAGGCACTGTACACTGACCACTATATAGGGTGCTGTATAGCAGTTACGCCATTTTAAATGAGTGTCAGAATGTCAAGTGGATGAAAAAGTAGTGTACTCAAAATTTTTCTCAATGCACCTTGAAAAGTAGTGATCATCCATGGTCACTAGACGGGCAGGTATATCCCAGAATGCTTTGCAAGAAGAGCTCTCCTCACAAAGCATCATGGGGTTTGTTGTCACAACGGCCCACTGTCACCATGGGCTGTCGCGTCCCGACAGCGGCGACAAATAAAGACGGCATGCGGGGGGAGTTAGATGACCACAGGGGAGCAAAAAGCAGTGATCATCTATCCGAACGTTCAGTTGACTGAGTTCACTATAAAGTCCACTATATAGTCCGTTCTCTATATAGTTATTGAGGGATATAGGGGTTAGGGCGGACGTTCGGACACAGCGAATGAAAATAAAACAAAGAGGAATTAAAAAGTTCAACATCAGATCCACTTACTCTCCTCGTCTTGTTTTTTCAAGCATCATGGCAGCAGAAGGAAAGAAGAGAGCCATGTTTAAGGACAGACAGCAGCTCAGGACACAAGGCAGCTCCACAGTGTTTGGATTAAAACAATGTTTATTTTATGCATGAAAAGAACATTCTGGTGCTAAGAGCTGCCTATTTCTGCATTATTAGAAAAAGCTTTCTATTTTGTCCACATTTTGTCCCTTTCATGTGGTAAGATGCCTCAAAGAGAAAGCAGTATGTGTATGAATTTATATATTAGGTTTAACAGAAGTGAATAAATTCAAGATCTGTATTTGTTCCAAGTTATCATGTTATACATATGACATCAAATGTTTTATCTGTGAGAACGCAAGTTAAAAGTTTACAAAAAATACAGTCTGGAGCACGTCAGATACGTTGATATGCATTGGAGATAAGTTCTTGATAAGTTATGCACAACAGGGTTCCTACAGCATAAGGCAAGTTAAACTCAAGACTTTTTAATGCCGCTTGAAATAAAAATTTAAGACCAAATTCACAAGAAACACAAGAAAAACCTGCTTGCGACAACTTAACCCAAAGGTTTATTTTAACATAAACCACTGCACTAATGTTTCAAATTTTGAAAAGCTTCCCATACAGGAAGAAAGCTAAAAACACACAAATGACAGATAAATTTTAACAATTATTTAACTGAATTCACAAACTTTGTTTTAGCAGAGAACAAAACAAATCAGTTTTAAAGCCCCAACATAACCAGTGCTAAGTCTTTTTTGCAGCTATTTTTCTTTGTATGGTTTTCTTAGTATGTTTGATTTGGTGATAAGTGGAGGCGTTGCAGAGACAAGGGTGGAACTAAACTGAGAAATACCGGCTGTTTCTCTGTAACTCCATTTTGACGCTTTGTGTTTCGTGCTTCGCATGTGCGACTCCACTGCCTTAATTCCCATCGTTCTGAGCTTGAATGACTTCGTGCACAAAATCCACTGAGCCTCATGTATGTTCCCTGGTTTTAGCCATGGAGGAAACTCTTGGCTGGAGACAATTTTCGTAACATTTACACTTGCTCATATTTTCCCAGACAAAAAGTTAATGGTGCATCTCCCAAATGTCCCGGCCGCAACAACGCTTTATTGGTTCCGCTATCGAGACGGAACCAATAATGGAGAGCTGTTATTATTATTATTTTATTTTTTTTTAATTGTCAATTTTAAAGTTTTATTTAGATTACAAAAATAAATCATAATAAAAATAATCCTATTTATGATGTTTTAAAAATTAAGACCTACGAAAGACTGATTTAAGACATTTTAATACCAATTAAGGCCTTAGTTTTATTTTGAAGAATTCAATGCCTTTTAAGACTTTTTAAGGACCCGCGGGAACCCTGCACAAGTTACTCATAGGTTTTGGATAAGCTAGAAGCCACAACTTAGTAGCAACTTACACTTAACGCATGTCAACCATCAGATAACTTAGCTGTAACTTATGGCCCACGTATGGCATACACTGGCTAAATCATCAACATGTTACAGGGTCTTTACTTACACCTGTGATTTGTAAAGTTAGCTTTGTCAAGTTGTAACTTGCATTCATAACTGCTAAGAAAGATCTGATGTCACCAGTATGACACAATTCAGAACAAGGAACAGATACAATCTTCAATTTATTCATGTTTATTGATTCACATTTATAAATTCAGACACCTACACAGACGTTTTCACTGACAAACATCGTCGTGTTTCACTGGGATTTTATGAAACAGAAACTATCTGAAGATGGAGGAAAAATAGTTTTAAAAAATAAAACGGCCAACTAATCTAAGCTAACAGCTGAGAATCTGGTGGATCTATGAGACCATTTCTATAGAAATCTGACTGCTTTGAGTTCACTTCTGAGTGGGTAGTTTTTACCATTTAAATTTTAAAGAATTTAATCAAAATTTGTCGAATTTGATCAAAATAATTACTTTAAAAACAGACTTTTTTGGCCCGCATGGTAAAAAATTTAAGTTGGTTTTATCTCTGGCTGGATGTTCCTATTCCAGACAATAATCCTGCCCTCATATGTTGATATGTGGTTGTCTTAACCCTGTAATGCCAAATGTATCATATTTGATACATACGGTTTTGCATCTGACACCTTTTGCATAATTTAATTGGTAAAAAACTTTGCTCAAAATCCTATTGTACACAATCAGATATACCTGATAACAGAGGGCAGAAGACTACACAAAAAAATCTCGACTTATCGCATAGTAATAAATTATTAATATCTAAAATGTATCTCTTTTTTTTCTTTTTACATATTTTGTTAAACGGCCAAATAAGGACTTCAAACAAATAAAAGTAATTTTCTATTTTGTTTTATTCTTGGATCGGACTTTAAAGGGTTAATGATTACAGTAATTCTCAAAGCATGATGCTGCCACCACCATGCATCACCACAGGCATGGTGTGCTTCCCATTGTGCTTGCATGCAGGTTGAAAAGTTTGAATCTTCTGTCTTCTCCAGTCAGGTTTAAGGAGAAGAGACCTCTGCAGCTCCTCCAGATGCCATACCATGCTCCCCTCATGCAGCCTGTCACTTTAGTTGGACCTCCATGTGTTGGCAGGTCTTTAGTTGGTATTTTCTCACTAAATTTAGATGAACAGAACTCTGGGAGGTGTTTTAAAGCTACCTGGGTCACTTCTGGAGGAAACTGCTTGAAGCAGGATATAGAAATCTATAGAAAACACACTGACCACACTTCAAACACTGACCACCTGGCTAAATGTGTGTTTACCTCCTTCTGCTCCACCTGTAGAGCCGTTTTTAGAACATCTCTCAGCTGAGTTAACTGCTTCCTCTCCTCATCCTGCGCCTGCTTGATCTGACAAAGGAGGAGAAAGAGAAGCAAAGTGAAAAACGTATCAGAAGAAGCAGTGGTCACGAACAACATGTGCTTTTCTCTTACGGTGTGCAGATCTGTAGCCAGCTTCTCTATGGACGGTTTCAGGTTCTCCACGGCTTTTAGGCCATCCTGAAAGAAACTAAACAGCACAACCTGCATTGAAGAGTAGATAACCGGTACTGGAAAGGTCTGGTTTCACGGGGCCGGTTAGCGGAGCCTTACTTGCACTGTGCGTGGAAGTACTTGATGAGGTTCTGCAGCAGGTCCACCCCCTTCTTGATTTTGATCTCATTGACTTTGAGGAGATACTGTAAACAGATGGAAAGCAGATCAGGGGTAGGTGGGTCAGAGGAGGAAAAGGCAGAGCTGTGTGTTTAAGAACGCTTTCATCTAACAGAGACGCTTGAAAGCAAGCCCCACCTTTATAGAGTAAAGGGACCAAAAAGGCATAATTTTCTCTGCTTTTCAAACAAACAGTCCTCTGTTCTGGTTCTGACCTCACACATCTGAAGCTGGAAGAACCTTCTCTCCTTCTCCATCTCCTCTGCTATTTCAGCCCCGCTGATTTCCGTCCGGATCATCCCGTGCTGCCGGGCGTGTTCCTTCTTCTCCTTCTCGATCTTGGTCCTGGCAGGGTCAGATTAAAGCACAAAAAATTACCAAAAAGTCATAGTATAGCGTGAAAAATCGCCAAAACAACATGCTGGTGAAGATACCCAGTCATCCAGGTCATAGTCATTCCAAAAAAGTAAAAAAAAAAAAAAAAAATATCCACCGGACTTTAAGTTTAAAGACGTTTTGCTTTTCATCCAGGAAGCTTTTTCAATTCAAAATGTCAGAAATAGCGTTGAGTAGCAGTTTAATTTGCATGTTTTCAAAGCCAAAACAAGACTTTGTTTTGGTCCACTCTATAAAAACTCAACTCAAAGCTATTTCTGACATTTTAAATTGAAAAAGCTTCCTGGATAGGAAGCGAAATGTCTTCAAACTTGGAAACAAAGTGCAGTGGATTGCTTTTTAACTTCTTTGGAACCCCAAAACACCCTACAGCGGTCTGCCACTCAGATTACAGGCTGCAGATGGTAAGGATACCAACGAGTTAAAAGTGTTACTTTTTTACTCATCTGGGCGCAGATTTGGTCTGGTTGGAAAGAACAATGCAGAGGATTAAACCCAGAGATCAGGAGAAACATCACCAGCAATACAGAGCCACAGTTTAGGCCTTATTAAGAAATCTGAAACTTTTAGGGATTTTGTGCCTTTTTTATCCTCAATTCTTTTTTCAGGGTTGAATTAATAACCAACAACTCATTGATTTTTTTTTTAAATCTGCACAGGAAAGACAGATATCATAAATGTTCAATGCCGCCTGTTATTGCAGAGAGCCCTGTCACTCCTTGCTGATTTAGTCAGCGTATGACAACGTCACAGAATCTTCTAAAACACTGACATACGCTGAACTTTCTATGTATTTTTTCAATTATGGGCGTATAAATAGAGTATTCATAACGAGTCCAGAACATATGTCAAACGACAGCCTAACTTATACGCAACGCATGGCAGCGTAATGCTCATGAAATGATGCACAAGCATCGAAGCATCAGTTAAATCTACGGTACTCCCCTCAGGAGCAGCGATGCGCCCGGAGGCGACCGGTCTGCATAAAAAGATTTCTTTAATCGCGGTATTAACCTAACTGCCCACCAAAGAAAGAATAAATAAAAAGAAAGAAAGAAGGTTTGCAGTCGCAGCAGGTTGAGCGTCATGTCTGCTAGGAAGTGTGTTGGTGGTGGGCGTGAACGCAGGGAGGATCCATCACTCACCTTCTGGCTCACCCTATGATGGGGGAGGAGAACTGACGGTTTCCTCCTGTGATCCCCCTTTATACCAAAACGCTGCCAATACGCCATTATACAGTAGCTGGAAGTTAGAAACGCGTTCAGCGCTCGTCTGGAACACGGCAGATACGTTGATATGAGGTCTTGATAAGTTACGCAGAAGTTATGCACAACTTAATTATAGGTTATGGATGAGCTAAATGTCACGACTTATGAGTAACTTGTCGGGAAATTTTGAGCATGCACAAAACTTCTCAACGTACTTGCCGTATGTTGACGTGTGCCAGCGTGCTCATAAGTTATACAAAACGTATCATAACTTATCCAACGTATGCCAGATTTTTCGTACATCAGGCATACACCGGTCCAAATCGCCAAGGTGTGACAGGAGCTTGATAGCCTCGTGAGCCCATCCTGATGTCGGGAGCTTTCAAGGTTTCACTCGCAGATCAGTCTAGAGACTCTCCGTTAAAGAACATTTGGAGCCGTTCACCAAACGAAAGTCCAATCAGCGTTGGCTTTGAGGCGGGTTGAGGTGTGACGCAACGAGAAGCGCGACAGCTCAGTCTAAAGAACATGGCGGCTTCAACCGATGAAGCTAGCGTTAGCGTGGCTATCGAGCAAGTTTTATGGGAATTACAGAGTATTTCTTCACTGAAAGAAGAGCAAAACACTGCTCTGGAGGCTTTTCTCAGAGGAAAACATGTTTTTGCTCTTCTCCCGACTGGTTTCGACAAGAGTAGCCTGGCTGTTAGTACGTCATATGCTTCGTTGATCTGATTGGTTTATTTGGCCCGTCTATCACCAACATAGGCCAATCAGCTAACCAGTATTTTCGCCCCTTCCCAAAATTACTTCAACGGAAGGTTAGGAACTTGAGGTTTGGAGAACTGGTTTGGGTTAAGAGGATGATTATTTCCTGACAACGAGGTCAAAACGGTTTGGTCAGCTTTGAACCTTTATTAAATGAGAAATATAAAGCTAAATCTGGGTCAGAAGTTTGTTGAAGTTAAGACAGACGGCGATGTCCCAACCTGCCCTCTGTGTCAGCACAAAGCATGAACCTCATTAAGAAAACGGCTTAGATAAAGACCTGTCCCCCTTTCACTAACGAGAGTCCTCTGCTGCGTGCAAAATGCATAAAAGCGCAATAAATACTCCTGGTTGTTTTAAACCACGGGGCGCCTGTGGTAGAGACAGGACGATGGGATGGGAGGACGTGTTGAGACACGGAGGACAGTTATTCAACTTAATAACAGCAAAACTAAACCACTTCAGTGATTTACAGAGAATGGTTCGACCTCTGAGATGAGTTAGAGCTTTAACGTTTTAAATTAAAGGAACATCTGAATGCCCGTTCATTAAATGTGTGGAAAAGAGGTTGTTTAAAGGGAAGGTTTCTTACACTTTGGTCTCGTAGTCCTTCCAGGCTTTGTCAAATGGCTTTTTCAGGTCCTGTAAGAAGAAAACAGAAGAGAAAAGGAAATGCAATAGAGTACAAAAATACAAATGGAAAAACTCTGCATCTGTTTCTGTCCATTTCACATAAATTTCTCATATAATATTGATAAAAAGCAAATAAAATGGGTAACTTTCCAAGCAGCCAGGGAAACCTGAGCCTCGGGCCCTAAGCATCAGATTATCTGCAGAGTCATCCTTGCTGCGGAAGCAGATAAACCCACAGAGGAAGGTTTAATGGAGAGTAATAGCAGAATAATCTGTCTGTGTGAGAAATTTAACAGCTATTAATTAATGAAGAATTAGAAAATGTATCAAACTGCTGCTGATTTCTTCCAATCATGTCGCCTCGATTTTATTTTTACATTCTGAAAAGAATATGTTTAAATTTTAATGCCTCTGCTGGAGATTGTGAGAGCTTTTGGTGACCTTCACCTCAACAGAGCGGGAGGGGGGCCTCAAACTGTCAGCACACAGGGGCTTCACATGGGAGCCATTCATCCATTATACATCATCCATCCATCATCCATTCATCCATCATCCATCCATCCATCCATCATCCATCCTCTATCATCTATCATCCATCCATCCATCCATCATCCATCCTCTATCATCTATCATCCATCCACCCATCCATCCATCCATCCATCCATCCTCTGTCATCTATCATCCATCCATCCATCCATCCTCTATCATCTATCATCCATCCATCCATCCATCATCCATCCATCATCCAACATCCAAACCCTCATCCACCCCACCATCCATCCAATCCATCCATCCAACATCCATCATCCAACACCCCTTTCTTTCCACCAAACCACCCCCATACCCATTAATCCATTCATCCATCCATCCTTTCCCCCTATCACCATCCAAAACCACCCTATCCACCATCCATCCCCTTTTTCCCCTTTTCCCATCCATCTATCCACCATCCACCCTTTTACCATCCATCCATCCATCCACCCCCACCCCTCTATCACCCATCCTCCATCCACCCAAACCTTTCTATCATCCATCCATCCCTTATCCATTACCCATTCACCCCACCCCATCCACCCCTCAATCTTTCCCACCCCTTCATCATCCACCATCCACCCCTTTAAACCACCCATCCATCAAATCATCCATCCATCCATCCATCCACCCTGAATCTTCCATCCATCTTCCATCCACCCCATCCCACCCAAACCATCATCTATCATCCTTTTCCACCCAAATCTACCCCTCCATCCACCCAAACCATCATCAAATCATCCACCCCATCAACCACCCCAACCATCACCCAAATCCACCCATCCTTCCATCCATCATCCCCCCCAAACAACCACCATCCATCCATCTCCATCCACCCCATCCATCCACCCTCCATCATCCACCCAAATCCTTTCATCAAACATCCTTTCCACCCATCCATCCATCCATCCTCTACACTATCTTCCATCCATCATCCATCCTCTATCATCAAACATCCATCCTTTCCATCCATCTTTCCATCCTCTATCATCTATCACCCCATCCATCCATAAATCCACCATCCCCAAAACCCTTTCACCCCATCCATCCATCCATCCTCTATCAAAAAATTCATCCATCCACCCCCATCTTCCACCATCCCAACACCCATTCATCCATCCTTCATCCACCCACCCCTTTTATCCACCCCATCCACCCAATCCATAAATCCATCCATAAATCCATCCCATTCCACCATCCATCCACCCAAATCCTCTATAATTTTCCCATCCATCTATCCACCATCCATCCCTTTTTTTTTTTTTCCACCATCCATCCATCCATTATCCACCATCCTTTCCCTTATCTATCCATCTTCCATCCATCCATACCATCCTCTATCATCCATCCATCAAATCCCCCCATCCATCCCTTACCATCCATCCACCCCCATCCACCATCTATCCACCATCCATCCCTTATCCATCCATCCATCCTCAAATCACCCCATCCACCCCTCATCATCTATCATCCTTTCCATCCTTTTCCCTCTACCATCCACCCCATCCCCCATCATCCATCCATCCTTTCCATAAACCTTTCCATCATCCATCACCATCCATCTATCCACCCCTTTCCATCATCCACCCAAAACCCAAACCTCTATCTTCCATCCTTTCCCTTATCTACATCCACCCCTTTCCATCCATTCCCTTATCCTTATCCATTATCCATCATCCATCCACCCATAAATCCATCCCATCATCCAACATCCATTCTTCCTTCCATCATCCCCATCCCTTATCCATATCCATCATCCATCCATCCATCCCCATCCATCCTCAAAATCATCTATCATCCACCCCACCCCTCCATCCAAATCATCCCAACATCCATCCATCAATCCACCCCTTCCATCCCAATCATCCAAAAATCCTTTCACCCACCCCACCCAAACCATCCACCCCTTATCCTTAAAAACATCCATCCACAACCCAAATTCCATCATCCTCCATCATCCATCCCTTATCCATTATCCATCATCCATCCATCCATCCATCATCCATCCATCATCCATCCATCCATCCATCCTCTATCATCCATCCATCATCTATCATCCATCCATCTATCCACCATCCATCCCTTATCCATTCATCCATCCATCCATCCATCCTCTATCATCCATCCATCCAGCTATCCACCATCAATCCCTTATCCACCACCCACCCCACCCATCAATCCCCCAAACCCATCCCTTATCCAAAATCCAAATCCACCTCTTTTCCCCATCCACCCAATCCTTTCCATCCATCTCCATCCTCTATCATAAATCATCCACCCCATCCCTTTTTTATATCCATCCCCCCCAATCCCCCCCATCCACTTCATCCACCTTTCCATCCCTATCTTCCCCCCATCCATCCATCCATTCCATCCATCCCCATCCATCCATCCTTTTCTTCCATCCACCCGCCCCCCCCCATCTATCCATCCCTATCATCCTTTCCATCCATCATCCTTCCCCATCCATCCATCATCTATCATCCATCCATCATCCAAAAAACCATCCATCATCCATCCATCCACCCAAATCATTATCACCCCACCCCATCTATCATCCATCCATCTATAAACCATCCTCATCACCCATCCACCCAATCCATCCCCACCAATCCTATCTTTTCCATCCCCCATCATCCAACATCCATCCATCATCAATCCATCCATCCACATCCTTCCAATCCATCCACCATCCTCTATCACCATCCATCCACCCAAATCCTCTAACCCAATCCATCCATCCCTTAATCTATCACCCAAACCCACCATCAACCCAAACCACCCAAATCATCCACCCCAACCATCCTCACCCAACCCCATCCATCCACCCAAATCATCTATCACCCACCATCTACCCCACCCAACCTTTCAACCCAACCATCATCCATCCACCATCCACCACCAACACCACCCATCCTCTATCATCCTTTCCCATCCCTTATCATCATCCATCCATCTATCATCCATCCCATCATCATCCATCCTCTATCATCCTTTCCATCTATCCATCCACCCCATCAACCCATCCAATCCTTCCTCTATCACCATCCCAACCCTTTAACTTCATCCATCCATCTATAAACCAAATCCTCTATCTTCCTTTTCCATCCCTTATCTATCACCAAACCATCCACCCTCCACCCAACCCCCAAACCATCCTTCCATCCATCCATACAAAACATCCTTTCCTTTCCCTCTATAAATCCATCCAATCCCCTTATCTATCATCCATCCATCCATCAATCATCCACCCTTTCCATCCTCATCTCTATCATTCATCCATCCATCCTCTACCCCTCCCCCCCAACTATCTTTCCATCCATCCATCCATCCATCCCAAATTTTCCACCCATCCATAAATCCTTTCCATCCATTCCTTCCTTTGCCATCCATCCATCCACCATCCTTTTCCTTTCCCCCACCACCCAAATTCATCCATCCATTATCTATCCATCCATCATCACCCATCCACCACCATCCATCATCTTTCTTTCCAAACCATCAAACCAAACCATCCATCATCCATCCCACCCATCTATCATCCATCCATCCACCCATCTATCATCCATCCACCCTTATCCATCCATCCATCATCCTCCATCCACCCATCCACCCTTTAAATCCACCCACCCAAATTCCCATCCATCCCACATCCATCCACCATCCTCTACCCCATCATCCTCCATCCACCCAAACCACCATCTATCATCCATCCACCCATCCATCCTTTCCATCATCAAATCACCATCCTCATCCATCCATCATCCATCCATCCATCCATCCTTCATCAATCACCCATCCATCTACCCCTCCATCCATCATCCATCCTTTCCACCCCACCCTTCCACCCATCCCATCCTTTCCACCCATCATCTACCCAAATCCATCCATCTATCCATCCATCCATCCATCCATCCTCAATCATCCACCACCCCCTTATCTATCATCCACCCTCCAAAAATTTCCACCCTCCATCATCCATCCACCACCCAGCCATAAACCCTTTCCCTCCACATCAATCATCCATCCATCAACCATCCTTTCCCATCATCCATCCACCCATCCTCTATCATCCTTTCCTTTTCCCCTTTTATCAACACCCAAACCATCTATCACCATCCATCCACCCCATCCTTATCACCCCCAACCCATCCACCCCTTTCCTTTCTATCATCCATCCTTCCCTTTCTATCATCCACCCCTTTCCACCCCCATCCAAAAAACATCCACCCAAACCCCTCTATCACCCATCCATCCCTTACAAATCACCCCATCCACCCAAACCATCCACCATCCATCCCCCTATCTTTCCATCCATCCATCCACCCATCCACCCCTCATCAACTATAAATCCATCCACCATCCTCAATAAATCCTTTCCATCCCCTTCAAACAAAACACCCATTTTATTATCCACCCATCCCAAATTTTCCCAAACCCAAACCATCCACCCTTTCCATCCATTTCTTTCCATCCAT